TTTGATCTGACTCCAGTGAACAGCTGTACTGTACAATCACTGTCAAATCTTGAATACTGAAAAATAGACTGATGTGAAGTGCTTTTCACTTCCATTAGTAAGCCCAATACAGTCAATGACTCACTTTGAACCACAGCCTTTTCAAAAGGGATGCAAAACGACTGCCCAGAAAGCAAGAGAGACAGAGAATGAATAAATATACTATCTCTATAAATCAGTTTACACTGAGAGAATATGTAAAAAAGTCCCTGTGTACAGACATTAGACCATTGTTGCCAGTACTCAATGGGAAAAAAAATCAAAGCTATTAATATAGATATTCACCCCAGCTATCTCAAAATGTCAAAACAGAATGGATATTTCCTGAACATCACATAAACTTAATTTGAGTTTGTCTATAGACTCTATTGCAAACCTAAGTATACCGTATATTCTGGCATATAAGACGACTGGGCGTATAAGACGACCCCCATCTTTTCCAGTTAAAATATAGAGTTAAGACGACTCCCATGCATAAGACTACACCCGCGTATAAGACGACCCCTGACTTTTGAGAAGATTTTCTTGGGTTAAAAAGTAGTCTTATATGCCAGAATATACTGTAACTATGATTATGTGATACTTGGGTTTGCATTAGAGTTTCTGGAGTCCTTGAATAATCTCCCATATTGTAAGCTCAATTTTTTCCATTCCTTATTAAGGACCTCATCACACTAGAGCAGAGGTCGTGAAACTTTTAAAACAGAGGGCCAGGTCACAGTCCCTCAAAATGTTGAAGAGCCAGATTATAATTTGAAAAAAAAAAACCATGAATGAATTCCTATGCGCACTGCACATATCTTATTTGTAGTGCAAAAAAACCCCCACTTAAAAACAAATACAATAATTAAAATGAAGAACAATTTTAACAAATATAATCTTATGATTATTTCAATGGGAAGTGTGGGCCTGCTTTTCGCTGATGAGATAGGATTGTTGTTGTTGTTGTTGTGTGCTTTCAAGTCATTTCAGACTTAGGTTGACCCTGAGCGAGGGTGTAAAACTGTCAGGGTTCACTGTGTGTGAAATTATATGGAGTAGAACAGAGTATCCTAAGAAAAGGTTTGGCTGATTGGTTGGAATAAAAGAAGACACTATTGAAACTGAATCAAAGACAATCCAATTTCTCAGTCTGTTCACAGTATGTCCAGCTAGGGAAACACCACACACACATACATACACACTTTTCATTGACATCAATAGAGGGTAATATTTCTCTATGTAAGGACACACAGGGATCTGAATTGAGGCAACTGAGTTCAATGCCACAACTTCTTGTCTTCCCACTGAGATTTGCATTAAATAAACCTTCCACTCAATAAGACAAAATTATTTAAAACATTTATTTGAAGCAAAATAAAACAGACAACTTGAGATTACATAGAAATACAAATTTCAACCAGAGCACTAAACCTTTTCATTAAAAATGTACTTCCTTGTTGAATTAATTTAGGTGTTTTTGTATTGACCTGATCAGTTAGATCACATTTAGCAATTTGCAGAATCAATCTCCATAAAAATCAGTAAAACAAAGATTTCTTAAAATGTGCAAATAGTTTCTGAGTGTTTTTTAAATACCATTCATAGTAAATGGCCCCTAGATATATGCTTATTACGTAAAGCTTTCTTTAAAGTACGATAAAAATACAAATTCTATTTGTTTAAAAAAGCCATTAATATGGCTACTAAACATCCTTGTACAAATTGCAAAATACTATATGACAAACAAAATTATAGACTTCGTTCTACGAAATGCAGCCTACTATACCTCCTTCGTGATTTCATATATATCTATATTGACAGGCACAGAGACCAGGATCCAAAGGTTCACTTGTGGTGGTTTGCATATCCTTGGGTCGTTTTTCACTCCTCCCACTTGCAGTCAACTGCTCCTCTTTTCCCCCAGGCTGCAGTTGGAGACCCACTGAAATGGCATCCAATGTGATGAAGGGGTGTACAACTGAAAAAGGGAGATAGCCCCCTGTTTCCCTCCAGCTTTGCACACACATTGCATCTCTTTGGATTCTGGCCATAGGTATAGATATACATGCACACTGACCAAAGAATAAAGAAGGAAGACTTAACACAATGAAAAAGAGTTAAGACTTAGTGGAGCCACATACCTAAGCAGCTGTCCAATTTAAAGCAAGTGGAGATTCCCCGCTTTCTAGGCATCTGCTTAAGCATTGTCCAAGAACTAAGCTTTAGAAGGTAATAATATTGCATAAATGCATTCTATTATCTCTGTAAACCTCGGAGTATACGGTTCAAAACTATATTTTGCAAACCAAGTACCAAAAAACTAGTTCTTTTTCCTCCCTCCAAAAGATAAAGCCAACAAAATAATCTCACATTTGCTCTCTTTTTTCTCCCATGCAGCCCTCCCCCCTCCCCGCCGCCCCAAAAGTCTTTAGTCTCTCTTTCAGCAAAAGGATCTATACAAGGAGAGAGAATTTTATCAGAAAAACAAATGTAATTTTTAAATAGACATTGAACAAAATAATGGCAGGAATGGAAACATGAAGGGAGATGTGATGAAGGAATGAAATGGACAACTAAATGGTTCACTTATTGCTAGTTGGAAGGCAAGGGGAAACTTTATGCAGAGATATGGCAACAAAACACAGATGTCCAGCAGCTGGTGGCTGTGCACAATTCACAGCAAGAGAGTCTATCCCCACCATTAATAAGATATTGATTTCTTTCTTGGAATATATTGCCTAATTACTCACCTGTAAATTTTGCTGTAAGATGAGATTATTTACTGATATTTTTACTCCAAGCAACTTGTATATACTGTATTTTCCAGCATATTAGATGACTTTTTAACCCTTGAAAATCTTATGAAAAGTCGGTGGTTGTCTAATATGCCAGGTGTAAAATAAAAATAAAAATAATTAAAAGAAAAGAATAAAATCCAAGTCCCTTAGTGGCATGGCCTGAGGAAGGAGGGAAGGAGGAGGGCGGAGGGCACGGGGGGGGGGAGTGGCAGACTGCATTGCTAGGGAGACCGGCTGGGGGTGATGGCCCGTTGGGCTTTCCCTGTGGCCCCTGCCACTCTCCCTGTTTTACTTTCAAGGTCCTCCTTTGCACCAATGCACATCTCCTTCGAAGGCCACTGGGCTCACGTAGGCACAAGAAAGTGCCTCCAGATGATGACTTTCAGCATCCCCGGGTGGTGGATGTGCTTGCTCAGGCATTCTGGGAGTCGCAGTTCCCTTACTCCTGGAGGCGCTTCCTTGGGGCCTAGGCGAGCCTTCAGAGGTGAGCATCAGGGGTGGAGGAGGGCCTTAAAAGTAGAGCGGGGAGAGCAGTGGGGGCCATGAGGACAGCCCAGTGGGCCATGGCCCCCAGCTGGTCTCTGTTGATGCGGCCTGCCACTCCTCCTCCCCATGCCCTCCCTCTGGCCTCCTCCTCCTCCCTCCCTCGCCCCGGATTGACAAAGCTTGCACTTGGGATTTCTTGTAACAAGATGGCCATAGTGTTGAAAGAAGGGTAGTCTTAAACGGCGAGTATATCCCTAACTCTGTATTTTATCTTTAAAAGTTGGAGGTTGTCTTATATGCCCAGTCGTCTTGTATGCCAGAAAATATGGTAGTTCCTCTGTGACTTCCTATTTCAGTCACTTACAGAGCTTACAGCTAAACTCAAGGAGAACTGTATTATGTCTTTGCAGACTGTTCTCCATGCCATTAACACTGTGGAAAACAGAGCTCTACAATCCTTTAAAAAGTTTGATTTCAAAACAACCAGGATTTTTTTTTCAAGAAAGACATGGCTACAGTGCATACCGGTAATTCCTATCAATCAGGTTGAAGAATTTCTGCTAGGCATAGTGACTTAGCAACCACCAGCACCCTAAGCACAGTTTAGATTTAATTCAGTTTTAATTTATGGATGTCAAGACATTCAAGTAACTCTGTTAAGGAATGCGTAACTGTACCCTAATCGTGAACATCATTGTGTGTATAAGGCATGCTTGTAACTAAATGTACAGCTGTAAACAGGCAAGCGTGGCCATTACAGATAGTGATTGAATAGGAAAATCTTACAAAGCATTGTTTTGAGTGTGATTAACAAGCTTGCTTCTAGCAGACCCGATCAGAAATCTTGAACATCTTTAGCAAAATAATATAAAACTGGCACATGGATCTTTTGAGTACAATTACAGATTCAGTACTTTAGGTTTTAAAATTTTATGCCCATTTGGCTTTTGCTAAGCTAGGATCCCACTTGTCTGATCAGTTGCAGTGTGACTGGGATCCCTTCCTTTTGACATGGTTGATCACCCAGAGGGCTATACAGTTTCTGTGAATCAGAACTGTGCACTGGTGCCAATCAGTATGACTGATTTGTCTTGTGGGGGGGGGGGGGCAGATCCTATGGGGTAGGCCATGGAGAAAGAGTTCTCTCTTTGGTCTGCTCCTTGTGTACTGAAAGAAGACTTGGATGTGGTGCCAAGCATTCCTATCACTGGCTTCGATTTCACAGAGGAAGAGCATACAACAGTTCCAATGAACTGGAAGTGTACAAAATCTGTTGGCATCATATATTTAACATCAAGGAAAACTGCATGCACAAAAGACAGTCATGGGGGTACAGGGGACAGTCCTTATGAGAAGAGCCACACACAAGTGCTTTGGAAATTCAGCTGGAATTATGTTGAGTAACAAGAATGTATTATGAAGCATTAGCAGTTCACCCATACTGTTATTTTCAGTATCACCATGATTTGTGACCCTATTGTATGACTATTTCACTTGCAGTTTTGGAATTAAGAAACCAGCAATAGGGATTTAACTGCAAATCGCAGTCTTAAAAAATGCCACCTGATAATGCAAAAGGTGGTATGCATTAATGATCCAAAGGACTTGCCATAAACACACAGTGAATTGCTAAAAAAAATGCAGGTAACAACGTTCAAAATGTGAAAATCAAAGAAAGACAGCAATGTGACTTCATTTTGGTTTCATATACATGTGAGACTTTTTCTTTTTTACATTTGTACAGGGATAATACTGAAGCCTATTTGGAGTTTTACAGAAGCAAACCTCACAAAAGGTAAGATGTTGAAAAACTTTTTGGCACATTTATAATGTTTGTAATACATTTTAAAAACTTTTTTTAAAAAATGATTATTTTCATTTTTCTTCTTGGCATCAACACCGGCTGTCTAGAGGATCCAGACAAAATACTGTGCCTTCTAGTGTCAGTCCCATTTTGAACCCCTCCTGGAAGAGAGAAAGAAGGAATAATAAAGTAAGATATTTTACTAAAATGAACTTAGTTCAACCAACATTTGTGCCTTGGTTGGTTGCATTTTTTCTATTTAAACATGGTCAACATTAGTATACATCTTTGAAAGTTTTGTTTTTGCATGTAAAGATGAAGAAATTCCACAGCTTTCTTTCCATAGTGGGACAAAATAAATATTTCTTTGAAGTTTTTGCCTGGGATTCATACATCCATACATGATTTGGAAAATAACTATATACAAAAATAACAGTTGTTCAGGCAAAAAGAATTTCAAGCAATATTTATTTCACATGATTTTTTCAAAAATATCCGTAAAGTTGATTTTTTCCCCACAAAAATGTTTTATGCAACCCTTCCTCCCCAATTTTCATGTAAACATTACCCTGTTTCCAAAAATAGCATGTTTTGAGAATATATGCTATTTTCTTTTTGCATAGAGTGTGTATTTCTGCACAAAACCCATAATTTCATGCAAAAACCTGATGTGTAATTTCTCCGCAGAATAAAACCCTGAACAAATATACAAATATCAGTTAAAATGTACTAAATTTTCCAAATCCTATTGTGCTAGGCTCTCCAACTACATCAAATAATATCTGTTAAATTAACAAACAGAATTAATATGAAAATTCTGCCCAATATAGAATTCAAAGCAAATGTGGTGATTTTATTTGTAGCTCAGTTTTAGTAACATTAACATTTTCAATGGTGTGTGAAATATATTCTCAGGTGAAATCTTGTTTACTATTAAGGCTACTACACTATGTCTTTGAAGCTGAATTTTGCAATCATGACAGAATCGCTCCCAACCATTTAAGTGTAACAAACGTTTCCAGGTGAGAATAAATTAGTTGTGAACAAATCAAACCAGCCACCATAAGACAAATCAAAGGCAGCTTTAAAGCTATACTCAGTTCTTTTATCTTCTTTCTCTACTGTTGTAGGAAATACTCGAGGGACTTGGCTTTTGCAATAGAAAATGAACATGTCATGTAAGATGAGACAATAAAGAAATGATCAATGATTGTGCCATCTAAGAATCATGCAATTTAGACTCATTGTCTTGGTAATGCTCTTTTCTAACAGTTGCTGCTACTTCATGCAAAAAAAATATCACCACCATCATCACCTACATGTTTTAGGTATTACAAATCCTATGCCAGACTGTATTAGGTAGATGCTGTTCTAAATATTTAAGGCACATATTAGAATGGGAAGTGCCAGAAACTTTAGTAATTCCCAGCTGAAATTACAAATGCATGGGGAAAATATGTTAAGTGATATAATAATAACCTTGATGGGAATAATTAAGGAAAGATGTATTAAATTTTCCTGGCAAAATTAGCTATAACAGCAGTTATAGAAAAAGGCATTAACTAGGCTTTTCCCTTCTAATGAGCTCATCTGGCTGCCCTGAGATTGAGAATACTCATGTGCTCACTGGGGAACCATGTGTGTAAATCATTGTCTCAACTCATTTTTTGTGTGCTATCTGTGTTAGCATATTATGAGGTTTCTAGTAGGTGAACAGTAAGGTAGCCCTCTACACGTAGCACAAAAGGAAACAAGTGAAAATGTATCGTTTTAATTAGGAGTCTAATTTTTTTTGTTAATTTAGAAATAATTGTAATAATAATATATTCTTCACCACAGAGGGAAAGACTGACCACAAGATGTATGTTTTTCCCCCTTCTGCTCTCCAGGAGCTAATCCATTGTGAACAACCTCAAAGCTCCTGTTGTCTGTCTCCTCTCATTGTTCTTCATCGATAAACTGGTCTTGCACTGGTCAGCCATTTAAATAGTTCAGTCCAAGTCCTCTTTTGGAAGGCGTCTTGTCTTTCTGCTCTTCAGACCAAAGGGACATGATTACTCCAATGAATGCTTCATGCAATTCAGAGAGTGTCCAATGGCCAACCAACTTTCAAGCAGCTAGCTTACTAGCCTCATGGATGAACTTAAATGAAGTGGTCTGCTATGACATGGAACCACAAGCTTTACTTCTAGATACTTGGAGCTCTTAAGTTAGCATACCATATTTACTTGAGTGAAATGCACCACTGATTGTAATGCACACTTCCATTTTGAAGGTGCACATAAAAAAAATATTTGTTGTCAAATGTAATGCATGGCTTCCCCTTCCTTGTTGACCATTTTGCTACCTGTCTTGGAATGGATGATAGACAAGGGAAAGTCACACCTCTCCATCAGGCTGAGGCCTCAGCCTGACTTGGGTGGGGGGGGGGGGCAGCTTTCAACTAAAGCTTCATTCACAAATCCTTCAAAAACTCCCTGTCACCTGTCTATCAGTCACCAGTCTCAGCCTGATAGAGTGGCATGGCTTCCCCTTGCCTGTCAGTCATTCGGTCCCAGCTGACAGGCAAGGGGAAAGTCTCAGCATGATCAGAAGGGGGGCGTGAGTCTTTCAAAACTAGGTGGAGGTGTTGAAGGCCTTGTGAATGAGGCCAGTTGGGATGCAATACCCATCCATTAGGGGTGCAAGCAGGTTTATGTATGCAATTCTAATGTGCCATCAAATCTAATGTACACCCAATTTTTAGCTATATAATTTAGCCAAAACAGGTGTGCATTAGAGTCAAGAAAACACAGCTATGTATGCATAGCCTTCTTTACAGAATATTAATCAGATACATTTAGTTACATATACTACACCTTCAGAAAATGTGATACATGGTATTTTAGATTTCTATTTAAATCTAATATATAATGTGAAAAAACATGCTGCCTTGTCTTTCCCAACGAAATAGTAATGAGAAGGAGATTGCACTGGCAAATATACTGATAATTTCCCTTGGAGGAAGAAGCCCCCAGTTTTTGCCATCTGAACTTGAATCTCTTGTGGAAAGAATTTGGGGAAATGCATTCAGTCAATGCTACTAGATAAATTCCTACTTATGCTATCTTTTGGGACTAAAATATTTACTTTTACTATAGCCTCAACTAGGAGAGTAGCTATCTTGTCAGCTGTTTGTATTACAAACGAACTGTTATTTATGTTGTGGGTAGTACCATTATATTTCTTGCTTCTTGATTTTTCTTCTTTCTCACCTAGTGCAAGTTTCAATATTTTACATGATTTTTAAACAATCAGTCACAGACAACTATGCTTTGCTGATATTATACTCTGAATATATAATTAATTTTTCGGAAGCAAAGTGCAATCAGTTTGTTGAACAGTTTGTCCCAGCAGATTTTTCAATATTTTGTCTATTACTTTACAAAATCTAAGGTAAAAATAGAGGAATCACTTTTTCCTAACCATTATCTCTTTAAAATTATGGAGATACATACAAAGGATTATGTATCAATTGAAGATTTATATGAATAGTTATTTTTAACAATATTATTTGAACAATACACTTTTATATATTGCCTTCTAGCTATATGGCGAATCTTACAAAACCTATGAAGTCTAACCTTCTAATGAAGCTATTTGGGAAACGTGAAAAGCTTAGAGGCCTCAGAACATGGTACCTAAACAAGAGCACAGAGAAAAACACTGTAATTAAATAAGCTGCAGTTTCACCTAATTCATACTTTATTTTAAAAAACTTGAAATGGTGGAGAGTCCCCCCCCCCCCCAATATGACATACAACTTATTCAAATTTATTTGATACCTATCTATATCTGTCAGGGTGATTTGAATGCGATTTTCCTGCTTCTTGGCAGGGAGTTGGACTGGATGGCCCATGAGGTCTCTTCCAACTCTTTGATTTTATGATTCTATTAATTAGATAAACAGTCTCTTGCTGAAACATTAGGTTGTGGAGTGCCCTCCTTCATATCTTGGGGAGTAGAATTGAAAGACCCAAAATGTGACTTTCCAATGTGGATTCACCTACTTCACCTGGTTTAAATCTTTACAGGATTCTGGTCCATCTTATGAACTCAGAAGTAAATCTTGACTGGACTCTCAGGGATTTACTCTCAGGTGAGGGTTTTTAGAGTTCCACCCTTCAAGTGACACTATTTGGGAAAATGGGTTTCTAAAAAAACCCCTATTTACACATGAACTGTCCTCCTTAATAAAACTTCCTTGTGGGGTGTGTTGCATTAGACAAGGGACAAGCAGTGAAATGTCCTCCCTGGAATCTTATCTCATGGCATATTTTGTATTTCTTACTACCCCATTAAAACTTTCTTCCATCCCCAGTCTTTTATGCTTGGTCATAAAGCTGTTTTATTTTGTCTACACTTCATAATATGTTTGAAATTTCTATATATTTGTATTTTTAATTTGTTCTGTGAATTGTCCTAAGAATTACAAAAGGATGGGCTGCCCCTACTCATAATACATAAATAACATCCTGGTCTGTATTATCTATTGGTATACTTGGAGCATTGAAAGAAATCCCCACTGGACTATGAGAAAAAAGATCCATAAAACCAGCATGTATGGCTTAGTCCTATATATTTTGGAGATAAAATTTTTGTACAGGACTGTTAGATATTTCATATTTCTTCTATATGCATTGATTCCTACAGTTTGCCCTGAATCATGGGTATTTGGTTTCATGAATAATGCAGAACCATACGGAAGTTTCACTTCTCAACATTCACTTTAACAGAGTCACAAATGCCCTACTTTTCAAGTCTGTTCTGCACTTGTAAACTAAGGGAATTTTTTTCATTATGGGAATGAGATTTGCCTTTTCATCCAGCAGAATATCTCAATAATTATATGAAACATAGGTGCCTTGTTTTAACAAAGTCTCCTGTGATAATATTTTTATTTTTTTACAGTTTTGAATAAAATTAAGCTTTGTTTGATACTTAAATAAAATAAGCTGGCTAATTGGGCTGAATCAAACCTTGTGAAATACTTGTTCACTTATATGCTACATGCATGAAAAATACTGCCAACTATAGAATATCCTTATTCTCCTCCCTAATATCCATTTGTTGTTTACTAGGAATAGCGAAGTTCTCAATTTCTTATAATAAATGGAAAATGTGCCCAGAGAACAAAAGGATAAATTTAAACCTTGAGCAACCTGGCTATTCCTTATTACTATGGTTGATCTCCATATGTGTAAAAGGAAGCAATATCATTGTATTCCTGGCAACAAACTTTCTTCATCCAGAAGGAATTATTAGTGGATCTGCTATATAGGAATGTCTAGAGGATTGGTGGAAACATAAACAATCTTCTTTGTGGACACTTCCAATTTCGTGGTAGTGAAAAATACTGAGGGAAAAATTCCAAAATTATAATTAAATGTATAAATTTGTGTTCATATTATAATATGGAAAATAGTATTTTCTGGATTCTTCATGGCATACATTCCCTTTTATTAGGAAATGGAAACAAAAGATTTTATCAGATATACCAAGGTCTAGCAAAAGCAGCTGGAAAATATGCAGTGGATTTTTTTTTCTAGCTAACTTTCATCTAAGGAGTCATCAAGCAAGTATGTTTGTTGAAGTGTGCTGCCACAACCCTATGTTGAGCGAGGTCATGGACCTCAGGATGAGCTGGCTCTGTTTTACAGGATAGCAACACATCCTGTAGAAAGTAAAATAAATAAATAAACAAATAAATAAAATGGGAAGGTTTCCGGCATGGTCAAAAAAAGATTTGTTATTTTTTGTTAGAGAGGATTGCTTCAGAAACAGTCAATTCACGCAAAGAGAAAGAAATTTGTCAAGTGTAACGTCATGAAAACAGAAAAGAAGGCTTGATGGTTATGAATGGGTATTGTTGGGGACAACGGTATAGATTTTTTACAACAGCTCAAACGTAAGCGACATCAACAACACATCATAGAAATTCCATAGGAGATAAAATGAAACTTGAAAAAATATATACAAACCATCGTTGACGCTGCACACCCATGAATGCACAAAGAGATAGAAGAAATATTAGAGCTTTCAATAAACTGGTAGGCATCAATAATATTTCTACTGATTTAGTTATACCTTTACTACACAATTAAAATACATATAAATGTTGGAAGAGATAAAACACTCATTTTCTGTAACACATAATTAAGGTTCTCTGCTCTTTAAAAATAATAAAATGTTTTAAAGCATAACTAATCTTGTTTTTACTTCACTAGTCGTAATAAGTAGCAGTAATAAGCCAACCACAATATTTTCTATGCTTTCATGTCTGAAGAACAGACAGAATAGTGGAGAATATGATGATACAAGGCAATAGGGTCTGAATGATGGGAAATGCCTTCAACTCGGATAAGAAAAGAAAATATCAGTAAACAGACTAAATTTCCCTGTGTTAACTAAACATATATGTGCTTGAGAATTAAAATGTACTGATATAAGTAGTTGTTCAACAATAGGAATTTAGGCCCAAAACAGGTAAAGTAAGGGCCATGGAGAAATGGGCTTGGTAAACTGGGAAAGTCAGTTTGCTCTCACTCTTTGCCATGTGCTTCATTAGCTAGCATATGGGTAATAAAGCCCTAGCATTAACTGGGCTAGATAAGGCTCTATGTACAGGAGCTACTGTGGTCTAATGGTTTGAGTGCTGGACTAGTGCTGTAGAAAACCAGAGTTTGAATCCCTACTCAGCCATGAATCCTACTGGAAAACCATGAGAAAGTCACTTGCTCTTGCCAAGAAAACCCCGCTATATGTTTTCTAAGGGCCCATCCAAATAAGGGCCCATCCCAGGACATGTCTCAGTTTTTAATGGAGGTGTCCAAGTGACATTCCTGGTAAAAATGAATTAATTCGGAACTATTTAAGGTTTCCCTGGTTTGTTCCAAATTAATTTGGGGTATTGGGCCTGTGGGGACTCACGTCTGAGTAGTCCTGGGACAAGTTGGGGATGTGAGTCCCTATTGCAAAGCTGAACCTTTGTGTGGGATGGCACTGACTCCCTGTCTCCAAGCTCTCAATTTTGCCCTAAAAGTTAAGTAAAATGTTTCTGGCCCCTATAACTTTCCTCCTTGCACAAGGAAATGACTTATGAGGAGATGGGGGGGGGGGTGATGAGGAAAATCCTTCCTCAGCCTCCCCGCACCACATTTCCTCATGCATCATTTCCTTGCACCAGGATGGGAGGAGGAAAGTTATGACTACCAGGTATGTTTTACTTAATGTTTAGGGTGAAATTGGGGGGGGGGGAGGCTTCAGGGTGGCTACCCCCATCCCAGGAAAGCCACCCTCTATCCCAGGAAAGCTCGAGGTTTTTGGGGAGGGGCAGTGGGCACGGAAATCCACACCAAAGTGAGTTCTTAAAACCTGCTTTGGCGCAGATTTTAGTCCTGTCTGGAAGCACCCTAAGGGTTGTCATGATTTTGAGTTGACTTGAAAATACATTACAATAACAGACCTTCTCACTAATAATCATTTTCCTGCCTCTCTGTTTGATTGCTACAAAATTATTAGTGATTTTCCAGACGGAAAACAATGATACATTAGACATCTTTTCTTTTCCTCCTGTAAAAGCTTCTAGGACTGGTGTTTTCAAACAGAGCATCAGAAGGTCAAGGAAGCAGAAAACTTATCCTATAGACTAAGATGAGCTCTCTGTTAATATCTCAGCCAACCCCACTTCTTAATGTAACACTGAACATCTCATAGGCAATGGACACATTACCCACCACATGATCCATTTCCCTCCTTAAAAGCCCCATGTTTACATTGCTTTGGAAACATTATTTTGTGCAGAAGTAAATATTTGATCACCTGCATCTCATCTAGTTTGGACTGAATGTCTGGAGGGAAATCTCCTGCTCCACAGCTAAAAGGGTCAAAAGGTTCTGCTCCAAAAAGGTCTCTCTCTAGAAAGAATTACAAACAAAAAACAAGGAGTCAGCAACACATCCGAGCACAATATGGAAACTCAGATTTACAACAGCTGGTAAAATATCAGCCCTAGAGCCCCAAATAACACTTGTAGCCATAGTTATGCTATCTTCTAGAAGGTCACAACTGGAATAGCTGTGTTCAGTACTCTACTTTGGACTATTGCCTATTTCCACTATGAAGAAATCATTACATGCCACTGATTTCATATTCTTTCCCTTAAATTAATGTCCCTGGATTAATTATGGTACATTTACAGAAATCCTAGACAATGGAGTATGGTTGTCAATGGCTGTAAACCAACTTGAATTTCATGCTGAGAGAAAGTTTGATATACATCAATTAATTAATTAATCAAATATTAAGGCCAATCAGAGACTCAAGTTTACATAAATGGCCAATAAGTACAGGCATTAAGAATTTTAAGTTGTCCTATAAAATAGTCTTCAGATCAACAAAGTAGAAGTTTTGGTAATATGTTTTTTTTAAGCAATTTTTTAAACTTGAAAAGGGCTTTGCTTTCATTTCATCTCTAATCCCAGCAATCACAGATGATCAACAATTATAGAAAAAATAAGGTGGAATAGAACAGATCCAGACAGAGATAATCACATGGTTTATTTTTAAAAAATGTCTTCATATAAAAAATTGGAAAGCTGGAAATGACATCTTGCTCATTTCCCCTCTACATAACTTGCCACTTTAAATGTATAACCTCCCATATATTGTGCTACAAACTGGTTGTGCACTCGTACAATACAATTATATCTCATTAACAAATGCAAATATTTCCTCTCTGATCTCTCTATCCCCATCCCTTTATTTCAGGCTATTACCTTTATGTAATCATTTGTATGTGATGTTTGTTCCTGAAATGAATTTTATGAAGAAATCATTTCCATTTTCTGATAGGAGAGATTGAGTAGGTATTCCTTCAAACACTCCCAGCATATGTGAACAATTCAATTTGTCTTATGTATATATGAATTTCTCAGTTTCGGGAGCATTATAAAACAAGAGACATTTATAATGTGATGCTTAGTGGGATGTTTTTCAACATCTTGACATGAATATTACTTTTTTTCAAAATTGCTACTGTTACTCACAAGTTTCCCAAATATATTGAAAAGATAATGTACAAGAGTGTTAAAGTCTAAAAATGAGGCTTTGAGGTTGCATGTTATATACGAAAGATCTCACAAAAATTAACAATCAAAGTCATAACATATAATCCTTACAACAACCCTGTAAGGTAGGCTAATATTACTTTCCCTAATACTATAAAACATTTGGGGAAGGCATCTAAGACATAAAAGCTTTCCTTAAGCCAGTTAGTGAATTTGTTCATGGCCAAGAAGAAAAAAAAAACATTGAAACTTTTGAAGTTCAATTTCTTATCCTACCTCAATATCAATGCCTCAATAACAATTACAAATGTAAAACAGAATAACCCAACAAAAACAACAGCTTAAACATAACAGCTTTAAATAAAAAAACGTAATCTATTTAAAATTATAACTAACATAAAACGTGAACATAAATATCTGAATTAATTTACAAATGCCAATGAGATTCAAAGATGTGTGCATCAATTGTGTGGGCAATGATGTTAAATGTGCTAATATGGTCTAACAAGGCCCAGGTACATTAATAATTTCAATCAGAAGTCTGGTAGTCGTCTCCCTTGAACTAATACTCCTCCTCTCTGTATGCTAATGAGAAAACTGGGTTTTCAGCTGTTTTTTGAAGGACAGAAGGGAGGGGGGCAGCTTTATTTCTTTAGGAAGGGAGCTCCAGAGGTAATGGGGGGGGGGCAATCACAGAAATTAAGATATGTATTGGCCTCCCATAGGATGCTGAAAGGACACATAGGCACATCTGCTGTGTGCACCAATTTTGAGGAGTCATGGAACAGTTTTACCATAGGTTTAAGCCTCCCTGACTTCCTTTAGAATCAGAGGCTTTAGTGGTCATTTTCAACAAGAGAGTAAACTGGAGGTCAGCTTCTGGTTTATTTCCTTCTCCCCTTTTGGCTTACATCAACCTGGGGGGGGAGGAGTGGACACCATTGACCCCAGAAGGATATGTGATCACCAGAATTTGTCTCATCCATTGCCTGCAAAGTTACAGGCTTTTAACAAAAGAAAATACATAATTTCTCATGCATTATATTTTGGCCATTTAAGGATGAGCATTTGGGGTCCTTGGTGAGGTTAAAAGCAGCTGGGACCATTCACTTATGGGTAACACCACACAAATTATTTGGTAGCGTTTGTGTGTAAATCAGTAACCACAGACAACTTTACTTAAGCATAAAACTCAAAGTATATTGGGGGAGGGCAGCATCATTTTACTGATGTTTCATCTCAGATATTTCAGGATACAGAATACGGGTAATTTTGAAATACAGTGTTAATTACATGAGTCATTGTAGCCAGACATAGTTGTGTAGAATATTATTTCATAGTCCTTTAAAATTGTACGTCTTCCATTACAGAAATATGAGATAGCTTTATAAGAAACCAGTCACAGCCAAGATGACATAATTAAATATCCAGACATCTTCTGCTGAAATTAAGATGGGACTAGACTGCTGGGATTTGACAAAGTGTGTATAATGGTATCCTAATATTACTATTATAACAATTGAAATAACAGATCTGAAAGTCAACTTTTGAGTGTCATGTTCTGCCTGTGGTACATATTTAGCACAACTATATTTATTTATTTATTTATTTATTTATTTATTTATTTATTTATTATTTAAACTTATATGCCGCCACTCCCCTGGGGCTCGGAGCGGCTTACAAGAATAGCTAAAATCTAACAAAGTTTAAAAGCAATTTAAAACAATTTAAAAACAACAGTATCAAACATTAAAAGCCTGTCGGAACAGGTATGTCTTACATGCCCTGCGGAAAGCTGGTAAGTCCCGCAGGGCACGAACTTCAGGTGGCAGAGCATTCCAGACTGATGGCGCCACTGCTGTGAAACAATCATGAGGAGCAAAGCAAAGGCAAATATATGACAAATGAGCACTTTTTTGTTCTTCCTTAGCTTCTTTAGTGGTAATTAGAAGGGGCAGATTATGATTCCATCAAAATTGGATCAGATTGTGGACTGTTTATGATGCTATTAATTTAGTTGTATTTACAGCCAGCCCTCAATATTCGCCAGGGTGAGGGGCAGAGGCGGCTCTAGGTAATTTTCAATTGTAAGCAAACAGTATTTTGCCTCCCCCCCCACAACCAATCACTGATATATATTTTCTGTTCATCATGGGAGTTCTGTGTGCCATATTTGGTTCAATTGCATCATTGGTGGAGTTCAGAATGCTCTTTGATTGTAGGTGAACTATACATCTCTGTAACCACAACTCGCATATGTCAAGGTCTATTTTTCCCCAAGAGCACCTCAAGAGCGCCCCTGGGCAAAATCTACTATACTGCAAATGCTTACTTTGCGTAATGGGTTGAGCCGCCCCTGGTGAGGGGAATGAAATCCCTGTAAAAGTGAAAAACGGTGAATAAAAGGTGTTATCCTTTTTACCTGAGAGACCATCTCTCTAGGAATGTCTGGAAACTCACAAAAGAATTGCACTGGAGGACCTACATATTTCTAAATAGGTATTCTCTTTAGAAATCTCTTGGTCCTCCAGCATGACTGGAAATCTGACCATAACATCATACTTGATGACCAAGAGATTCCTAGTGAGAACATTTTAAATTAAATTCATGAATAATCAAATCTGCAAAAAGTCAAAACTGCAAATGCAGAGGAATGAGTATACACCAAAGGATCAGATAGTATAGCCTCCCACAAAACAAAAGCAACATGCACCCCCACACAATAATTATATAGGTGATTTTACCTTTTGGCTTTATTTTGCTTAGTATGAAGATGTAAATAAACTTTTTTTGCTGCATGAAAAACCCAATATAAGAAAAATATTAGGTCACTCATTACAAACTTACTGATCTCTGCAGATCTACTTGGCACTGGAGGAGGCTGTGTGCCATTGCGAGTAGGTGTTGATGACTGAGGGGATATGGGAGAAAAGGGAACCATATCAAAGATGTCAGTGGAGGGTGATTTAGGTGTCACACTGCCTGCCTACAATAAGGACAATAAACATTAGGGTAATATTTCACATGGGGAAAAAAATTAACAGTATTTAACTTTTTGCATGCAGAAGATAAAAGACTACATTATCAAACAGAATGGCATGCCAAAATAAATTGCCAATACTGAGGAAATAGCATTTGCAGCCCAAGATATATGAGACATGCTAAAGCTTTTGCACGTATCACTTCACATTTACATCTCTTCGGTAGTATTTAAAATTACATAACTTTTAAGTATACAAGAACTTGAAAAATATGAGAAATTCTGAAAGTAGAAGGACAAGGACCATTTACTAGACATTAAGTTAAATGTACAGAATTACTGCCTGTAATTAAAAAATAGAAGATCAATTTCACTTTATTAACTCAATTTTATGCAACAATGGAATGAGAATTCTGACAGATGAGTTATTCTACATGCATAAAAAACATTTTTTGTGGATACCAATACATCATAATAATTCAAATATCTCACAATTACAAAGGTTTCAGAATTCAATTTTACTTCACGAAAATATTTTTTGTTAAAGCACACTCTTTCTCTGGTTAACGGAAGAATATTGTCCTAAGATTAAAAATCCAGTAATGATACACATGAAAGAATTGTAATTTGAAGAACAGAATCCATTTTCAGGTGCTGGCAGTACAGATTTCCACGGGCAGCTTCCAGAAGAGGCTGGTAACGGAGAGAAGAGGCAAGTAGCCATGACATCACTTTAATTACTTTACTGTATTTGCAAGAGAAATGCTCTCAAGATCTGAATTGTATCTCAGATGTTTTTCCAAAGCTGTCTTCAGATCAACCATACCAATGTCATCTTAACAGAATTGAAAAAATTGGTAGCATGCACTGTATTACCATAGGAGTCTTTATTGTTAGATATGTTTATTGCATTATTTTGTTGTAACTGATTGTTGAATTAAATCAGTATGTCTTATTTTGGGTTTCATCATGTTTATACCTAGAATACTTGGGCTGTCTCCAGCAAGATCCTTTGGTATACTGCAAGAGATCTTCTATTTGACTTATCGAGGCAGAGGACTCTGCTAGTGGAAGAAGGTGGAAGTGATTTTCACCATTCTTGTCCCCAAAGCCAGAAGACCATATCACTTTCCAGTGTGCTCAGTCCTTCTATAGCAGTGAGGACTGAGGCTTAAAAAATATTCCCCATTTTTTGGATTGGAGTTCTTTCACAAATAAAACTCTTTTGTATTCACTTGTCACAATTTGTCACCAAACAGCTGTACCATATATACTCAGGTATAAGCCAACCTCATATTTCAGTCAAGGACAGGTTTAGGGGCAATATTATGGAGTGTGATATGACCCACAGATAGGTCGAGGCTCATTCCACAGAGAGGGACAAGTACCAGCTCTGCCTCGGGAGCCAGATGCCACCAGCTACTGCCCCTGCCATTTTCCCATCCAGGCCTTCTAAAAGACCAGAAATGGGGCTCAGGCAGAGGGAGCAGAGGAGATTGGTGCTTCTTTTAGATCCTTCTCAGATAACTTTTCTCCACTTTCCTCAGAGAATGAGAAGATCTCACCCCCGCCTTATAAGAATGAAGACATAGTAATTACACTAACCCATACATAAATCAATCCAGATTTCTTAGTTGATTTTATGACTCTTTCTACACACACACATACATATATAAATGTGAGTGTAAACAGTAAAGAAAGGTATTCTAATCTACCACAATGTGTCATAGAAAATCCAAAAAGTTCTTAACATAAAAATGTTTATAAAATTCTAGGTATGGCATAAATTTTCTGTTGTTGTACAGCACACACACACTTCCAAGAAGAGTCTACTTATACTATGCCTTTTTAAGAGTTACAATCTCTTACTCTATTATAAGTCAAAGAGCTTGGTTTTCTGGAAGATGTAGAATATCAGCACATTGACAAAGGCAGAGGAACTACGAGTTAGTACTGTAACTGTCATTTGGGAGAAAGCATTAACAACAACAACAACAACAACAACAACAACAACAACAACAACAAGCATTCTTCTGTTTGGCCTCTATGCCATAAGTAATAAGTATTTCCATTACATGGTTTTCAGAAACATCTCTTAACTCTAGTTCTCAGTCATAAACACTGGTAGAGGATCTCATGTGAAATCCATAATGTATGTTTATCACACTACCAAAAAGTGCCTATATTGGCACTGAAATGACAGCTGTTATAGATCATATATGAACTTATATACCTCCTATACTTCCTACTCCTCAAGTTGTTTAGTCAACCTAAATTCAGCACAGAGTGAGTTTGGAAGCCCTCCTGCTTCAATCTTCTCATGGAGACTTGAATAACTACCCAATGCTGTACACTCAAAAAGAGATTTCTTCAGACTATATGGCTAGTTTTTTTTAAAAAAAAAACCCACTGGTCTTGTAAAATCCTTTTTTTTTTTTTTACAAAAGTAGAATTATCTGATCTTCTACATTATAATCAGTATTACCTGATCTTCTACATTATGATCCAGTATCATATGGGCGGTATGTCAATGTAAGCTGCCCAAATTGTATAAATATAAGTACAAATACATTTTTTCCCTTTGGTTTTATGCATTTCCCATCCTTCTGAAGAACTGTTGTCTGAAAGGTGTCCAGTTTTATCCAAGTTCGTTTTCATTTCTGCTTTTGGGGCTCCTAAAACAACTGGTAATTCATACAGAAGAATTCTGGTAAATATTTTCAGCTTTTGCTTAATCCTAAATAAGCTTGTGTATATATAATTTGTATATGACCTATGTTTCTAGCACACCTACTTTTTTACTTATGGTAATCCTTTACTAATCCACACACCACAGGTATGCAACAAGTGGATTTCTGAATGTATAATCTCAGTAAATAGAATTTAAGTCTGATCTTTTAAACTATTGAGATTTACAAGCAAATACATAGGAGAGATGGTAACATAACCCTTATATGGCAACAGGAAAATTACACTTGTGGGGTTAATTATTTTCATGATTTTTTCATATAAAAGATAATTCAAATACTGAAAGGTTGAAACACAGCACATAAAATAGCTGTCTTCATTCCTGCCTTATCACAACATAAATTTTCAAGAAAAATGGGCAGCATGCTTAACTCCTTATTTCGAAATCAATGGTCTGAAATGTGCTTATTTCCAGCTGCATTGAATTCAATGACAGGAACGAAACATGTATGGAACTGTATCTACTGTTTTTTTCTCTACCCCTTGAGTTAGTCAGACTAAGTTTTTAAAAAATTAACTTTATTTTAAAAGTTACATTAAAAGTAAAAAAGTCCATCAAGAAAAGAAATATAGAGTAAAAACACAAAGAACGCCAAGAAAAAGAAAGAAAGAAAAGAAAAAGTGGACTATCTCCGATCTCGCTTCATCCAGCCAAAAGAAAACAAACATAAGCCTCACCCTCTAGGCCTTACAGTGTTGACTCCTTTCTCAAACAACCCCCTGGCACATCCTTCTTTTCCTTGTGCAAAAAGTGAACAAAAGGTTTCCAGGATTTAGACTAAGTTTAGATGACTTCAATTCCAGCTGAAATCAGTGGGGCCAGTCATGGCTAAGGCTACAAATTTAATACCTCTATTTACATTAGTCGAAATGTTTAGGATCTAGCATCTGAATCCAGTCATCTTAGAGGACCCCAGGAATTCAGTTGGTACTAAAGTTACTTCTAGCTATAGCAAAATAATAATAATCCCAAAACAATACTATAAAACTATCAGAATCATCCTGCAGCTGGCTTTAGATCTGGTGGTTTCAAAGTCGTTTCAGTCCTCCAGCTTGAGTCAACTCTACCATTCAGGAAGTTGTTCAGGAAAAACCTTTCCTTTCTGGAAAGGGCACAGGAAGCAATGTGTTTAAATAAAACAAAACATGCTCTGATGTGAGAAAAGGAAAAAAAACCCACCCATTCCAGATGAAGCAGTGCATTTATCTTGTCAGGTTCCATCTGAATTAGGATTATTCTGTAATATCATCCATTAATTTGAACCAACTCTATGTCTACCCAGACAAGGCAGTGTGGTGACTGAGGGAACCTTCAATAACTGTTTGTGTTCAATGTCTTACTGGACACATATTGCTTACTAAACAAAATTAGTAGCTCCTGGGACTTTTGTCTACTATAGGCCATTTAATCAAGAAATGAATGACCCATGAGTTTGCATGCAGATCTCTCACTGGTAGCTGAAACAAGCATATTTGTTATACTATTTGTTATAAAGAATACATTTTTACTGCAAAAGCCTAGAACAGACATTAATAAAGTCACAAAGTTTTTGGAAGATGAGAAAAAGTAGAAGCATCTATATCTTTTAAACCATGTGTTCTTCCATCCACACACTGCAAATAAATACTCACTTCTGTTTCTCTTTGATAATGAGACTTTATTTTCAAAGAAATATGCACTAGCAGTACCCAAATAATCACGAGAAGCATTTTAATTGAGTAAATCCATGCAAAAAGCCTAAATGTTTTCTGGGGCAGCCAAATGATAAATGCAAATAGAAACTGAATGTTGTATCAGCCCATATTTAAAATCAGTAAGCATGAAATAACTTCTATTGGGAATAAACAATGGGCATTCTTCATTTTGCACAGAGTTAAATTGAACTTAGCAAAAAATAAATTATTGGTTCAATACCGGTTTGATTGTACACTGTTTCCTAAACTTTTTATGCTGTCCAATCACAGTTCTTGAAAGGCATTGACTTTTAGAAAAAGAACCTGGGAGGAGGTCTCACTTCATATTTTACATTATATAAATTGCTTCATTTCTCAAAGCATGGCATGAATAATTTTTTGATCATTATCTACTATCTGATGAAATTTGTTCAGAATGAGATTCTAAACAAACCAATTCAGAATTAAGTAACCTTCAACTTGATCACCCTTACTTCTCAATTAGGGCATTCTGGGTTGGGGTACATCACTTTTATTTACTCTGCTGGTATACCTAACCAACCCATGTAATCATAGCACAAACTCACCATTAAGCATTTTCTAAGGAGAGAGAACTCTAATAAGTATTGGGAAATGTATAGTATAATTGTAGGGTTAAGATCTAAGAGAGTCAGAATGCTCAAAGTTTTTGTACTACCCATAATGATGAGAAACATATCTGGTCTGTCCTTTAACCACTGTACAAAATGTAGCATTTTGATACAATCCACACACAACAAAGATAGAAAGGTTGGGGAAAAAAGACTGCTTATGCTCAGCCGGATTACACGAGGTCTTGGGATGATGTGTTCATGGACTGGCTTTGGAAGACCATTTTTGGAAGGTGGCGGTGTTAATAGTCCAGATGACTGTCTGGAGTCAGGAGAGCTCACAGGGGTGAATGTAATAGAAGAGATATCTAAGCAAGGAGTGGAATCCTCATTGCTACACCAGAAAAAGGTGGAGGGTCTTTGAAACATGTGGCATTCATAATCAGACTCTATGTGCAGCAGCTGTAAAGGAATCACAGAAAGAGAAAAATATTCTAAGGAAGAAAAGTGGTAAGAAAAGGGAAGGAAATGAAAAAAGTATTGCTTGCTAACTGATTTTCATTTTTTTTTCCTCAGTAAAGTTGATTTTTTTTTCTATCTCTCAGCAACAATGGGTAATCCAGTTCTGGCAGAAGCAAATTGAATATGTTCATTAAATGATGCAGTTATTTCTTTTTTAAAAAAACAAACTTTTTTTTCATGTACAAAAATAACCACATGTACCAAATACGTTTTCAAATTATCATGTTTATAATTGCTTTGCATATAAAAGGCAAACATGGTTGCGTGGTTAAAGCACAGCCCAGTATTTTGTGCATTTCATATAACTTCACAAACCATTTTTCTCACCAGTCACAGATACAAAATAAGGTTATTATATCATAGAGTTGATTAGGTTCTCTTCCCTCTGAATGTGATCCTTATACATCATGAAATCTTTAGACAAGTAATTAAAGTGCATCTGATTAATTTCAATGGACTATAAAATGTACCTCTCCCTCTTGCATTTTCCAGCAACCAATATACAGAGGCATGCTGCCTCTGATCCTGACTAATAGCCATTATGACCTCAATATTTTCTATTCCTTTTTTGTAATTATGCCTAATAAAAAGTTATCAGCATAAATGTGATTTTTTGCACGGATATGTATTTGTTTACTCTTGCTTACACTGAATCAGATTTGCCATTTGGAAATATGTTTTTAGAGAAGTCTTTATGATTTGTTGTTTTTATCACTTTACATAATATGATTTAATCTGCAAACCGCTTTGATTCTCCTTGTGGAGAGAAAAAAGCGGGGTATAAATTAACATAATGATCATGATCATCATCTTGGCCCCCTCCTTCTTGTCCTCGAACAAACATAATAGAATGAAAGAAACAGAACAGGAAACGAAGTGTAGAGAATAGTAATCAGGTAAATAATGAAAAACAGAGGCATGTAATTCAAAAGAAAAATGTCAAGAAAGTAATTATAATGTTAACATGTATTTTAAAAAAATATGGGGAAAAGCTAACCTTGTTATATCACATGCAGTGCAATGTAAAGTATAATACTATGGAACATGGAGGTAAACAAATAAGGGAACATAGTGTTGACATTTGAAAAGAGCAACCATAAAATTAAGTATTTTAATGTGGGAAGGGGAAGCTATGGCCAGCAGAAGTGGTGGGTGGTGACATTGATGTAAGTGCACTTAAAGATAACAAGCATAGCATTTTAGTTAATGGCCTTTAGAAGGTAAATTTGAAATGCTTTGAAAAGGCAGTTGAGTCACGTCTTCCATATCCCACTGTAATATTTTAGTAGCCTGACCTCAACAGGGCTGATTGCGTCCATTTATTGCACAAAGGTAAAATGCTGTTCCTGGAAAATTTGCAATAGGAAGTTACAGCCCCGTTGGGCAGCCTAGTGCGAGACAGGGATGAAGCAGATACGTGTCACTTGCCCTTTCCCTTGGGTAAGTACTGGGGGGAGAAAATAAAAGCTAGAGTGAACACTTTGGTATTGCCTATTTAGGTTATAGGATATAAGACACTGGGAAGGAGACTATCCTGGGTCTGGCCTGGAGCATTTGCCCACACTTAAATCCTGCATCTTGGGGAAGGTGTCCTTCTGTTTCAGTAAATGGCCAATGGGAAGCAACTAAGGACCCAGCTACACTACAGGTTCAATCTGATATTAACGGAAGTGATTTTGCTATGCAAATGATTACATAGGAAATCCTGGCAACAATTTGAGGCCTGGGTGGGGATTACACAAACCACTGATGCACGTAAAGGGTTCTTTTTTACAGGCTTTTGTGGGAGTTTGTTGTCTGGCTGCCACAATTTGAAGCTAGTTTTTGGATTGCATTAAATAGTCAGTGTAGATGGGGGTCAAAATTATTGAGCCTTAGGACTCAGGTGGTTTGCCCAGGGATAGGCTGAGGAGGACATCAAGGAGTGATGTCTGCCTCAACTACTCCTGCCTAGGCTACCTCCCACTCTTGCTCTTTTCCAAGTTTAACATATTTTAAAGAGGTGCAAGATTAAATAAAGTGGCCCTTATTCGACCCAGTTCTATGTTTTTGGTCTCTTCATTCCATGCTTGCTCAGCAATGACACAATGGGATTTGAGCTGAAAGTAAAGTCATTTGCTAACATGTTCAGATGTAAAAGGAGGATTCCAGAGATAGATTGTTAAAAACACTCACTAACAATTCTTCTTGTCTAGAGGTCAAGACTTGTTCAAAAACATTTTTTTTGGTTTTTAACTATCAAATAGCTCTCTTAATATATGCCTTTTATGATGGTTGCAAATGAACTGGTCAGTGATTTTGTACTCCTAGAACTCCAGAAATAATGGCTGAAAATGTATTTTTATGAGTTTAGAATATATGGTGAAAATTGCTTGAAATACATTAGCTACCATCTAGACACTGATCTGAGATGGATAAAGAAAATCTCTTAAGAAAGTAAACTTTTATTTGAAGTATGAAGGATAAAGCACCATCATACTGGAGCAATGATTTAGAAAACTGTACTACCATCAAATGACTTCAGTCAAATACTGGGAGGAACTCGGATATAAAGCCAAAGCAAATCTTGAAAAATCAATAGTACATAAAGAGTAACAGAAAGTCTATGTATGAACCCAAAAGTCTAATGATGAGAAAACACAAAAGTTCACATAAATTAAACCACTAAAACATGGTGGGCAATTGCAGTTGTACACTCAGCAGTTCCTGAACTTTTTGCCCATGAGCAACCCTTCTTGTAGGTGGATTAAAGAATACAGTTCTATTATGTAGTGAGGGAAACCACAATATAACAACCATAGTACAACTCTAGCTGCCTATAAAATTATTCAGGAATAGTCAAAACAGCGTTAATTCATATCACATACAAGCCTGCTACGAATGTACATGACACAATAAGCAAAAAAGCGTACAATTTTTCTACACTGAAAATAATTGCATTCAGCTTCATAGAAAAGCAATGCAAGACAAGATATGGAAAATGAAAAACTTCAGTCTATAGCCACATGCAGTTTTTAATGTAAATCAAGTATGTGTGAATTTTGTGCAAAATAACTCCCTAAATATAGAATTTTGTGAAAAAAGAACATTTCTATGCAGATTTTGGGTTTTTTTTTTAAAAAAATACAATTTCATGTCTAAAACAAACATATACATATTTCACAACATGTAAATCCTGCACTGTGAAGATTCTCATTCGACTGTGATTCTTCTTTTTAGGGTTACATAAAAGGAAAAAGATGCTGTTCCACCATTTTCAAATATTTTCAGATATTATTTCCACAAATGGGCTGCTCTCAAATTGTAATGGACATCTTATTCATCTTAAGATTCTCCTAAATATGTGAAACACCACCTCAATATTTTTGCCTTCCTGGAATTCTTTACATACTTCAATACTGAAACAGGCAAAATTTATATAGCTATATTGTTTTTGCAAGCTTGTATCTTTTATTGATATCCATGCTCTTCTCCAACCTTCCCAAATAAATTCCTAGAAGGTGGGTGGGTAGGTAGGCAGGCAGATAGTTTTGGGCTTGTTTGTAAAAGTCATTTCTCAGGTTTTTTTTCTCACCAAAATCTTCCATTGGCTAAGACTGGATGTTTATCTCTCATGTTGTTAGGAATTTAGCATTTCTAGACCTGGTCTAAAGGTAGTGTTTATTCAGAATTGAGTGCAGACCTCTCCTCAAACAGCTGGATAGCGTGTTTTGGCCAGCATCAGACTGTGGTGGCAGCTTACAGTAAATATTTTTATTTTGAAGAGGGGAAACTCTTCTACAAAGGGAGATGGTAGTACAAAAAGTTCCTTGGCCAGTTAGAATCCACATCTGCAATCCTAAAGCTGGGGAAGAATACATGCTATAGCCTAGTAGGAAGAATATAATGTGGTGTGTACTAGGCCTGGGTAACAACGGAAAAATTTGTTTCTAAAATCGATTCGTTTTTTGGGGTTTTTTGCGTTTCGATATTTAAAAGAATTCCGAAATTTTCCTTAAAAAAAGTTCGATATTTACGAAATTTCGTAAATGGTAAAAAAATTACAAAACAATAACGAAACAAAAACGAATCGATTTGTTAATGGCGGCCGCGATCGCGCAATACGCTAAAAAAACTTCTGAAGCTTCCCTCTCCCTCTGTTGTTGACTGTTGGTGTGATATTATAATTTTTTTTCACTAATTAAACAAAAAACAACTATAAAACTTGCCCCAGACATGCGGAAATAATAACAAAACGACCTCAAACCAATAACGAAACGAATACATAGCGAAATACGAAGCATTTACGAAACGAATTGAAAAATTCGTTTCGTTTTTAAGTTGCTCCAGAATGGTTCGTTATCGCTTCGTTAACCAAAAAAAAAAAACAACGAATTTTTAACGAATTACGAATTAACGAAACGAAACCGCCCAGCCCTAGTGTGTACAGATATTCAGAGTGTAAGTATTTGCAGTAGAACATTTCACAGACTTTAGATATAATATAGTACACTTCAGATAATGTGTGTGAGTGTGTAGATATGTGGGGGCAGGGCAGGGGGGGAGGTATCTTTTTGTCAAAATTAAGACCTTGCATAGAGACATAACTGAGAAGATCTGGCTTTTGTTTTAAAACTCAAAGAAAGGAAAAGCCATACAAAAAATTAGGAGAATATACAGCAAACATACTCTAAAAAGTATGGATTTTTCTTTTACCTTTTAGCTATAGTGGAACTAAGTGAACCTTGATGATACGATTGCAGCAATATTAGGGGGGATTCAGCCACCTTCATAAAAATTGTTTAGGTAAAAGTAAAAGAAACCATCAACACTATAAAAACTTTCTGGGACAACTCACTGTATCTACACATTCTGCTTATAATTATTTCTAGACTATGAAAAAGGTTGTTGTGAAAGTAGAAATTGTGTTTATCACATTGTAAGGTCAATGCATGAGATAAGCACTGGATTTTAGTGCTTTGTTTTTCATATGTAACAGGAGGGTTGACAATGTATACTTGATTATGCCACTGAAAGATTCTTTGGAGATATCCTCACTACAAAGAATGCCAAAGAACACTGAAAAGAATGCCAAGGCATAACATTAACTTTGACATTTTTATTGGAATACAAATGGAACAAAAACCAACTGTTTTATTTTTAATGTAAATTTGAATCACACAGAGCTTTCTTGCATTATGCTTTCAAAATTAGCAAAGCTTACAGCCAAATATTTGTCTAAAGCCTGAAGTGAATGCAACACAAATATGGGAGTGTTATTACTAAGGGATAGGGCACAGAATACCTTGTGGATAGTGTTAGCAATTAAAATTCTAACATTTGTGCACATGAGAACATCCCAGTAATAGCTCCAGAAAGAATTACAAGTGGGATTGGAGGTTGTTCACTTCCTTAAATCCCATCCATTTAGCTATTTTTATATATCAAAACATATAGAAAGGTTTATGGAGAGGTAGAACTCTTGTCCCTTGAGTTGGGCATCAGCAGCAGCTAGAGAGATCTCTGTGCTGAATATAAAGGAGGCAGTCAGAGAAGTCTGAAAAGGAGGGACTGACAGTAGCCACAGTTTAAAAAGTGAGTGAATTATAGAATATCCTCAAGAAACTATCTTAAGATTTACAGGAAGTCAATAATATCTGCTATAGTATAGATGGCTTCTATGCCTGGGCTAGTATTAAAATGACCAAGCTTGGAACATTTTCATAGTACAGATTATAAATCCATTCATTTTCAACCACAACCCCCTCTTCCAAAACACAGCCTTTCAACTTAGGGCCCTTCCAGACAGACCCAAAATGTGAGACCTGTCTCACTTTTACCTGAGGCATCCAAACAACATCTCAGGTAAAAGCAAATGCAGAGAAAACTGGGTTTTCCCAATTTGCTCCACATTAATTTGACACCTGGAAAGATCTGAAACTTAAGCTAAGGTTTCTTTTATTTTTAAAGGTAAAATGGGGGGGGGCTTCGGGGTGGCTGCATGCCATCCTGAATGTAATAGGGATTATATATAGCCGCCACCCCCCCCCCCCCCCAGGAAAGCCCATTTCTTTTGGTGGGAGTGTGGATGGGAATCTGCACGAAAGCGGGTTTTTTTAGGGCACTTCCAGACAAACCCGCTTTGGCGCAGATTTGTGAGCTGTCTGGAAGTGCCCTATTCTCTTCCTTACTCCTCAATATTTGTCACAGATATACTGGTTCATGTGTCCTCCTTGATACATGATATACTTTATGTGTGACTCTTTTAGTGATGAAAAATTCTATCGTAACTGAAGGATATAGATTTGATTAAGGTTTCAAGTTTTGACTGAATGGATTATAATTATGAGTATCACTAACAAAGTTATAAATTTATGAAAGGAAGACTACTTATGTTTCTGGACTGCAGTACCTGTAGTCTATGCGCCGCAGGATGAATGATCCTAGTGTAACCTCCACAACTCAACTAATTAACTGAGTGGTAGGAAAGAAATGCAGTTGCATGGGGCATCAGTCTCAGCCAGAATCATTGGGGAGGAGGGAGAGGTAATGAGTAATGCATGCCTTTTTGATGAATAGTATTTGAGCTGACAGAAATCCTGTTGTCAAGATTTCTGTCTCCCTAGTGGTGGTAGTGGAGATCACTAGGCAAAAAATAGAGGTAGCTTTCAGGCTCCCTGTATCCCAGCAATTACCACTGAAATTTCTAGGTAGTAGTGATTCTGCTTCCAAGACTTCTGTTTTCACCCACAACCATAATATGTGAGTATTTACAAGTATACGCGCATGTAAGATTGCATAAGTCTCTAGCACAGTGGTTCTGTGGGTCCCCAGACGTTTTGGCCTTCAACTCCCAGAAATCCTAACAGCTGCTAAACTGGCTGGGATTTCTGGGAGTTGTAGGCCAAAACATTTGGGGGGACACAGGTTGAGAACCACTGCTCTAGCATCAAGATTCCAGCCCTGCAAGCCCAAAAGCTCTCTGTTTTAATTCATTACTCTACTTTCAACTCCATTTGTTTTTCCAAATGTTAATATTTAGCTCAAAAACCAATCAATCTTGAGAAGGAACCTTATGTTTAATCATTCATATTAATGAAATTGTTATCATACTTTACACAAGGAGAATGATTTCCTGGATTACAAGCAGTCACTACGGACTACATTAGACAGAGCTGTATGGAGGATAGGAGCTCAAAAGTAAATCTTTTTCACAATATTAATAATTGTAATTAAAATAAAGCACTAAAAGAAGGAAAGACTCACAGAGAATATTAGTTTATCAGGAATAAAAAGTTGCATTCAATTTTCATAATGAAGTTCCACTTCACTGGAGTGTATACTCTTGGGATTCTGGATGCTATTTCGATTCATTTCTGTTTACAATTGACTGTCAGTGCTGGAGAATCCTAAAAGGTAATCAGGCTCTAAATGCAGCTTACCAAATAAGATAATACAACAATAAGACCACAGACTATATTATTATCATCTTAAATTGAGATACTTTTTTTTTAAAAAAAATATATACTGCATCCACCATTATTCACTGAAACAAGGCTAATCAGAAAAACCTAAACAGTCAAGTTGTATCTTTAACAGTAACACAACACTATTGTTTATGAGGAAGCATCATGGAATCCCAATTCATACACAGCTTCAAAAAGTGAAGGGTTTATGGCATTGCACATAAAACAGACAAATAAGTAAGTAACCATATGTTTGTGACAAAAATTCAGGAGCATCAAGTGTGCCCAAATCCATGGCAAATTCTCTTGATATGCTTAATTTCTAAGGAAAAGAAAGTTGAAAGAGGGAGGGCGGGAAACAACAAATTGCCTCGGGATCAGGAAGCCTTTGTTCATAAGCTTTAAAATCTGGATATTTTCTGAAGCTAGACAGTCATTATTGGAACAAATTGTTTATTTATAGGGGTTCTTTCATTCATTTTTACTTAAAATGTTCCAATGTTGATTCCTGGCATTCAAAAGAGGCAATCGAGCTGAATTCTGCTGAGCACAACTGCAAATCAAACCCTATTCTCTTGAATTAAATCCATTTAGGTTCCCAAGATAAGGTCACCAAAGTTCTCCCCAACTTCATCAGTATTGTTAATGAGAGAGATTTTGCATGCTCTACTAGAATATTTATTTACTCCATTTATATACCACTTTTCTCAGCCCTCAGGTGAATATATAGAACTGCAGTTACAAATGAATCATAGTTACATAGCTGATGCCATGACTTTGAATATTCCTTTTCTGGTTTGTCACAATCTTAGAGTTACTTAAACACAGAAACATGAGTTAGTTAGGTCAATGAGCAAAAAGAAAGAAAAAGAAAAAAGCTTTAGATTGATTCTGAAGCAAATTGGATGGTAAATATATTTAATAGCACATTTGCTAGAAAAAATGGCTTTTGCCTAGATACTTACTGGCGAGGTGTGTATTTGGGTTATTCTTAATTGGTTCTCCAAATCTTGTACCTTGTTTTTTAACTCCATATTTTCTGTTTCTAATTCATTAATCTAACAAAAAAAATAGTTAACAGTATGGTGAGTAGACATGCAGACTAATCAGTGGTGTTGTGGATAAGGAAATTGATTGAATAATCACAATACCTCTTAAAGCAGCCAAGAAAAACAAATCATTAAGGGACAAAAGGTTTACCTGTACTCAGTAACTGGGATTGTACAGAAGCCCTATGCTGAAATTCATCCATAAAATGTTTGTTCTTAAATAGGTAACTGTTATCATTGTCAGTCATACAAGTTGGAAACCATGTCCTATGAGGAGTGGCTTAGGGAGCTAGCTATATTCAGTCTGAAGAACTGAAGGTAAGGAGGTGAAATGATAGCCATGTTTAAATATTTGAAGAAATATCATGTTAAAGATGGAGGAAGATGGTTTTTGCTGCTCCAGAGACCAGGGAATAAAGCAAGGGACTCAAACCATAGGGCAAGAGATTCCACCTAAACATTAGAAAGAACTTCCTGATAGTAAAAACTGTTTTACAGTGGCATATGCTGTTTTGGAATGTGGTGAAGGATTTTTTGGGAGTGCTACGATTTTGCATTCCTGCATGGCACAATGGGGTTGAATGGGGTTGAACTGCATAGCCCTTGGTGTCTTTTCCAACTCTATTATTCCATGATTGTACACTAAGAAAAATTAATAAGATTTTATACAAGGAGAGTTCCAAATTCTATCCTGTGCTCAATAGCTTCTGCAATATTAAATTCCCATTTCCTTGTTTATGAACATAGACACATATTTATATGTCATTTTTGTTTGCAAATTATTATTCAGATCTGGAATGAAAAAGGAGGTTGCTTACTACATGAATTTAGTACAGTACCATCAATGGCTTTCCCCATAGTTTTTCCTATTCACTTGTAATTTCTGTAAAGTTTTGTCCAATTTGTATCTTTTTGCTGATAGAAAACATCACCTCCCCTCTCTACTGAAGGGGCTCTCTTCCATTTTTCCAGAGGACAATTGTTTTTTGGTATTTGAGGGCTGGGGGCTGGAAAAGAAGCAGGGAAAATGGTCAGAAATCACCTTCATCCCTATCTCACAAATGGGAGCCCATGTTATACCAAAGGAAGTTCCATCAGCAATGAGATACAACTCATTCTTGTTGCATGTTCATATGCAGCCCAATCTAATACCTCCTCATGGATTAATGAAAATTCCGCTTTTGTTTTGTTTTCTAAATAGCTATCTTGAATTTGTCTAATTTGCTTGTGATGGAACTGCTTAAAACCACATAGCCTTATGTTGCCATTCTCATCTTTTCTTTTCTTTTATTGCTGCCAAGTCCTGTTATTTCTTAGTTTGGCAATTTCCCCAAGATCTAGATTACATTCTATAAACTTGCTTCTTATAAAATCAGATGATAAAATTCCCATCATACTTATTCTGCTACATTCCAGCAGTATTTTTTGTAAAAAAAAAATCTAAACGATACGTTATGTAAACCGAGAAAGAACACGTGACGGGTTAACTTACTCTTTTTTGTAACCCTGCAATCTGTTTTCTTGTTTCAACATCCTTTCCTCCAGATTCCAGAAATTTCCTGTAAGCCAGGTCAAATGCTTGACCAATAGTTAAGGTTATCTCTTCTGCCTTTATATAAAGCAAATATTACCATTAGCATGCAAACTGTATTTTATGTAAGGAAGAAAAAAAATCTTAAAAGAGTATATTGGTTCATTACTTATAGTCAGCTATGCAAAGAAACTTAGCAAAATGGAAAGTCTACAAGATGCTGAATCAACAAAGAATGTATTATCCAAATTACAATGAAAGGATGTCTGAGCTGTGCAATGCATGACTTATTTTAATAAGTGGTTATAATCTTAGTGAACTATATATTATATAATCCACATCTGTACCATTTATGACTGAATCCCATACTTAAAATATAAGTCCACAAATCTATTGTTTTTGGAGGAATTTATTTCTCATTAAAAATCCCTAAAACTTATTTGTCATATGACACTTTTAGAGACCGCCCAATTATATCATCAGGGTATTCTGGAGGGAATGACCCACACATTAAAAATAATCTGTTTAAATGCAAGTGCCATAGGCAGAAAACAATAAATTCAGAGCATTGCTGGTAAATCACAATGAAAAGGACATGATGTTCAGCATTCTGTTTAAGTGATGCTAGATGAATGACACAGAGATGGGACAAAGATTTGGCACAACTGTGGAACTGTTTTTGAGCCAGGTCACTAAGTAGAAGTAATCTGTCTCTGAACAAACTCCAATTGGCTAGATCATTCTAGAGTGATTCCTACTCATAAAAGTCCTGGAACTGGTAGAGAATCTGATTTTTGTGTACAATGGGCACTCCACATTTGCTGGGTTCAGGTGCACTGGCTCTCTGCAAAAGTAGGAAAACTGCAAATTAAATTGCTATGTTTTTACCTGAGAGGACATTTCTCAAGGAATCTCTAGGTCTTCCAAACAACTCTGTGGTCAAGGTCTGCCCTAAGTAGATCATAGAGTTGCAGTGTAAGACCTAGCAATTACTAGAGAGAATGTATTAATCAAATCTGTGAATATAAAATCTGCAAAAGAGAAACCTGTAAATATGGGAGGCCAAATGTACATTTGTATGAATGATGAGTATGACTTAATTAGAGCAGCATAACACTGAATACAAATGCTTTCTTCCAATAAACAATTGGGCTTAACACTGGTTTAATCCTAATACATGTAAATTTATTCATAAATTGATGGAAAATCAGTATTTTTCACATAGGTGAAGTGCATCAACATCAAGAAACAGAGGAAGAGATAAATATAAAGACACATTATCTAAGAACATGGAAATACCCAAAATATTAATTCTTATCATGGCTGGGAAACTTTGAGAGCTGTAGTGTAACCACCACCCCACATCCCAAAAACCTCAATTTGTTTCCAAGCTCTACTACAAAGCATCTCTATATCAAGATAACAGGCCAAATATTTTCCCAGCATAATAGGGGGGAGCATTTTTCACAGGTTGTTTTGTACTGTGAATCCAGTGGGATAAAACACACACATTGGTTGTCAAAGGCAAGAGCACTTGTTTTATGCATTCCTCTCAAATGCAAAAGTGGAGTCTACTCCAGACCTGTTTACTGCTAACTAGAATTACAAAATAGGATGTAGCAGGACACACAGGCATGCACCTTTCATGCTTTATTTGTTTTGCACAAGGTTGAGGAAGGCAGCTCATATTTTGGACTCCATTCGTACTAGCTCCAGTTGGAAAGTTTGAATAGTGCTGGCTAGTTTCTCATTTGGCAAGATTAAAATCAAAGTTTTAATGGCAATCTTACATATCAGTGTAGGAAACTGTATCAATAAAAGCATCTTGTGATATTATCAACATTCCAGTGCTGATAGCTATGACAAAATTGTAGCTTCAGAGACAGGAATCTTGGCATGTTTTTCTCTCATTTCTGTTTTTAGAATAATTATGAAAAAGGGCAAAAAGTATTAGCATAAACCCCCTAGCCTAAATCAGAGCATACATGTCATACTTACACACTTTTCACTGTCAAAGACATAGCACAAATGCTTATTTGATTCAGAATCTTTGCATATGAAAGTGAATATCCTTTTGTCGGTTTTGTCATCAGCACAAAATGATATCCTATGGAGCTGGCAGTTGTGCTGGACTTCCTGCAAACAGTAATTGTGCAATTACACTTTAGGAATTATGGTTCAGATATAAATCGCATTTTGGATCTTGAACACCTTCTAACCTTATAAAAAGGCAGGGTCCTCTCTAGCCATAAGGAGTAATACTCTACATAGGAGGCAAAATTTACAATCACCACCTACAATTTGTTTTCTAATGGTATATGGCAGTCTTATAAAACACTACAGTTGCTTTCTCAGTTATGTTTACAATCTGTTAGGCATCTGGGTCTGATTTGCAGCTACACAAGGCAGAGAAGTATAAACACAAGATGTTCCATTACAGATACTGGCTTTATTCACTGGTTCCTTTTCTGGATCACACTCAAAGTAGTTTCTACACAAACATCTTACTGCTGTACATAATGTTCTGTCAGTTGACGTGTCTGTATATTTAATGTAGTAACCAGACTGGCAGTATCACTTTTTCAGATGGAAGATAGGATCTTGGAATATATAGCAAATGACATGTGTCATCTCAACATCCTACTCAAAAGACATGTTAAATAAATCATGCACTCAAAACACAAAATCTGACTCTTGTGATTACTTTAACAAATCGTGACAACCAAATATCTTAGAAAGCAAGTTTCACACAATGTGACAAGAATATATAACTATTTGCAACTTAGCTGAGGCAATGTATATCCTCATTCTTTGACAGTGAAATTACATCAACCGCCTGTCTCACTGATTGTAATGGCATATGCACGTTGTAAGCCTCATATAGGCTTGCACAGGCAAGTTGCTTACCAAGGTAAAGTTCAATCTGGTCTCTACTAACTTTCTTTGGGCTAAGGGTTGACACTGGGTGGTTTCTGATGGATGGTGTCAAGTGAAATTATAACTTACCAACCACATTTCAGTGGTGTGATACTTCGTTGCATGTTGCTATAACAGGCATGTTACAGCCATGTGAGCAGTGTTGCCTCCTCTCCCTGCATCTATCTGTGGTTTATATACACATCTTTCTCCCAATAATTTGAAGCATTTGCTTGGCAGTGCTGTTGTAGCACCCTGTATGCATCATCCACTTTTTGAATCAGCAGAATTGCAACCTTCTATATACATTGAAAGAGAGTTGGTACAAATGCAACCACTCCTTTTTTGACAGCTCTATTTTGATCATGAAGAAAAATTAACACATATCTACTACCATTCAGAAGCAAGCTATAGGACATGGTGGTGTCCTATAGCTTGCTTAGTTTCTACTGTTACATAATTTATCATGGAGCTGGTGATTTCCATTTGGAAAACAAACATTTGGAAATTTACAAAAACAAGAAAACTCATTGGCACTTTTTTTCTGTTTTTTCCTTTCAAAGTTTCAAAGCAGTTTTTTATTACTTCTGGCCAGCATCATGGGAAAGCAGTTCTGATCATCAAGAAAGATATGCAGCTTAAATGGGAGAGCTATTCTCTGCCCTTTTTATTTAGTGTCAAAAGCATTGCATAAAACAGATAAAACAAAGGGATCACAACCGGCTAAATAATTTTAGAACAAAACCAGGCATTAGCAGCCACATTGCCTGTAGCTTTAAATTATTCTTCCTCTGTGCATGACACAGGGCATTGTGGGCAAGCATAAAGATGTGGAGTTGTTTGTTCTGCTCAAGAGTTTCACAAGGTGGAGGATTCTTTTAGGTAGTGCCATTTTGTCAGGTTGTCTTTTGATCTGCCCACTCCACTTCTGAATCTGTTCAGGAACTTCCAAGTTCCTGAACATCCTTGGTTTGCCCCTGGAAGAAGACCTTCCTAGAGGGTCATCCAATTTGGATTTCCTTGTTTATCTGTCCAGAGGGAAGCTCTTGAGGTTGCTGGTGCAATATTAAGAGAAGTGGTGGTTTTCATGAAGCTTCTTCTTGATTTGAGTCTATTGGGAGGAGGATGATAACAATACAGTGGATGGCTTTCATGGCCATTCTTTCCAACCCAAAAGCATGACTTTACAACATTCTCTGCCCTAAAATGATGGGACTGTAGTTCTTCAGTATAGGCACCTCTGGGAAACCTATTTTTTTCAAAAAAATATTCATAACCTGACATTATAACTCTTAACTACTCATTTAAAATGTGTTAATACCATACAATTTTGCATTGTGCAGTGCCTGATCATTTACTTCCTTCAGTCCTCCCTCAAAACATCTATCTTCTCTGTTACTCTGAGAGCACAAAATACTTGTCAAATGAAATCCTCAATGTCTTTCCACTTTTAGGACATTTCTTTGTGCGTACCAACAATTGCACTGATTATAAGGTGGTGTTCTGTGGTTTCTTGGATGTACAAATGGCTGTCACTTTAAACATATTCTTCTTCTTTGAGGGGGTGGGGATGGGATTGAAAAGCTAGAGTTTTCTTTCCTTTATCCGCATAATTGAATTGATGTTTCACCATGCATTTCTTTCATTTATGGAAGGACCATATTTGTTTCCACTGATATTGGTGTTCATGAGGCCAAATATAGAGAATTCAGTAATTCTCAACTCAGTAATGCAATACTATAAAGGTATTTTGCATTTCTTTCCATGAGACACTATCATGGCTCAGAGTTTTTGGGTTTTTTTACAGTTTGATATATGTATTATGGAAATGGCTAACAACAAGTAACAGCCTCTCCTATGCCAGCAATCTGGAGATAAGTCACTTAAGTGGATTTCATTCCCTAGGGCAAAATTTAAAGAGAAAGTGAAAAGAAGAATATAAGATTCTTACCTTTGTTTTTGGATCTAGAATTTTAACGCCATATATTGAGATTTGTAACTCAACCTTTGGTGTTTTTTGACCTTCCGATTTCTTGATATGCCTTGCAAACTGGAAATTAGCAAGAAATATTCATGTAGAAATATATATAGATATATATAAGCTATTGTAATTGGCTGCAAGCTACAATGTAAAACAATACTTTCCTCTATATAACTATATATAATTATACATTTTCCTGCAGTAAGTAACACAAACTTTGTTTACAGGGGTCTGTGTTGGATGCAAAGATTTCTCAGCAACCAGGACAGGTATTTGTTTTTTGGTGGGTGGGGTATTGACACTATGTTTACGAAATTCCAGTGGATCTTATGTAAATTTCATTTATTTAGGCAAGTACTTAAGAACCTCTTTTCTTAGGCAGGCATTTCATTTTTAAACATGGTACTGAATAATTGATGTTTTTAAAAGAATGTGGTATTTGCATTATATACAGTTTTAATTACTGCATTACCCTGTGTTTTTTATTTTTTTTCTCAATGTTCTATGCTTTGAAAAGTTGCAAAAATTGAAAAACTGGCTAAATATATTCTTAAATAACGTAATAGCTAAATTAATAAATCAATACAGAACATGACTATAAAAACCCTTTCCTAAAATACATATTGTCACTAGAGGTCTCAATGAAATGCACATTGCAGCTTCAGCTTGTTCTTGTTTAAGAGATGGTTCAATTTCAATCTAGTACTAACATGCAACTTAGACTACTTCTCAGGCTATCTGATATAGGGGACTAACTATTGGTGGTGGTGGTGGGGGGGGGGGTTATTTGTTTTTGTTTTTGTTTTTTTGCTCATCAGGTACAATGGCTTGTTCCCATCCTGGAAATTTGTTAAGTATTCAATGGCGCGGGGCCCAGAAATTGTCCAGGGACCATCACCTTCAGTAGCACTGATATAGACCACTTTCCTCACTTACCAGATATGTGTTCCTCAAACAAGTGCAGAAGCTCACATTTAGCATAGCCACTTACCTTTTTATCAACTTTTTGTATTTTTGCTAACAACACTATGAAACATGATTTTTGTTCCTGGGTTATAAATGTTATTTCCCAATTGGATACATCATAAAAACATGGGAAAAGTTTATTAAACTGCAAAAACATAGGGTTTTTTTTTTTGCAAAACATCATGCAGCAAATTTTATTATAGTTTTTCAATTATTATCTCATAGAGTCCCAACCGATTCAATATAATAATAATAATAATAATAATAATTTTTATTTATTTATTTATCCACCACCATACCCCCAGAGGAACTCTGGGCAGCACACAAAGCACTCAAAGGTGCAAACATGCAAAATACCAAAAAGTTCAAAGACAGTAACACAGAAGCAAAAACGACCAACATAAACATAATAGAACCCTCCCTGGTTAAGAGCAGTAAAATGCAACAATGGCTGCAGGCAATAAAGTTTGTAGCAGCCACAAAAACATTTTTGGAGTGTAACAACTACTTTCAAAATAAGTACTGTATAATTAAACAGGAAATAACACTTTAAAACCAGGAACAGAAATATTTTAAAATTTTGTTACATAGTACTATAAGCAGTAGTGTAAGTTTCATAAAATGGTACTGAAAGCAACTGAATATACTTATAACACATATGCATACAAGTGCATGCTTGTGCAGAAACATGCAATCATACACAACAAATAGTTCAAAATAGCTCAAAAGTAGATGCTCCAACTATTTTCCAGCCTAACACTCTGTTGAAGAAGGTGGCTGAAAGGAAGCTAAGCTAAAAGGACAGGCGTTTGTTTGTTTGTTTCAATTTATACCTTGCATTTCTTTCAATATAGGACCCAAGCATCTACTTGGTGACAACTAGACTCTGTTGTCAACTGTAGCATTTTGACTATATCCACCCCCCCATTCAGAAATACAGTAGGCCTTTTTGCAATGTGCTTGCTGCCTGTCTTCCATCATTACATCATTACTTCATTGTAGAGTTGAATTTGGCTTAGTGATCAACTGCTGACTTGTGTTGACTACAGTAATAACAAAATGTAATTGTGAAGGTTTCATTTATGTGATTTAGAGTCCCCATTGTTGAAAGTGGTGGAATGGGTTAAGCCCTTGTGTGGGCAGGACTGCTGACCAATAGGTCAGTGGTTCAAATCCATGGAGAGTGGGTTGAGCGCCTTCTGTCAGCTCCAGCTCCCCATGCAAGAACATGAGAGAAAGAAAGTGGGCTCCCCCAGTGGTGGAATGGGTTAAGCCCTTGTGCGGGCAGGACTGTTGACCAATAGGTCAGTGGTTCGAATCTGGGGAGAGTGGGTTGAGCTCCTTCTGTCAGCTCCACCTCCCCATGCGGGAACATGAGAGAAGCCTCCCACAAGGAGGGTAAAACAAAAAACATCCGGGCACCACCTGGGCAATGTCCTTGCAGATGGCCAATTCTCAAACATCAGAAGCAACTTGCAGTTTCTCAAGTAGTTCCTGACACAAAAAAGCCTTTCAATTACTGGGGCATAACAATGATCCACTTGTTCCTACTGCTTCTGATTCATTTGTCCTACTTGGAGAATTCTGCAAGACATTTACCACCTAAGCTTATACAAGCATTGTGTGGAGAAAGGCTACTGCTGTTTTTGACTTTGCATAAAAAATGGAAAAGAACTGGAAGATKAGGGGAAGGACAATGTAACTGAAATCCTCAAGCAGGGGTCCTCAAACTTTTTAAACATAGGTCCAGGTCACAGTCCCTCAAACTGCTGGAGGGCCGGATTATAATTTTTTAAAAAATGAATGAATTCCTATGCACACTGCACATATCTTATTTGTAGTGCAAATAACACTTAAAAACAATACAAAAATTGAAATGAAGAACGATTTTAACAAATATAAWCTGAATAGTATTTCAATGGGAAGTGTGGGCCTCCTTTTGGCTGATGAGATAGGATTGTTGTTGTGTGCTTTCAAGTCGTTTCAGACTTAGGTTGACCCTGATCAAGGGCCGGATAAATGACCTGGGAGGGTCGCATCCAGCCCTCGGGCCTTAGTTTGAGRACCCCTGTCCTAGAGGAAGAAACAGMAACAATGTTTGTAATGCAAGAAGCTCTGAGGAGCAATCTTCTAGTTTCCAAGGATATTCTTTTCAGGGACTTCCTCCATTATTTTTCCCACATAATATTCTCTTCTCTTCTCAAAACTAAAAGCTTATGATCACATCCAGTTAATCTATACATGATCTTGGTTTCAATCATGCTTGATGAGGCTAAATGTGAAACATTCTAAGGACCTCTTGTTTTAGATACCCATATGACAAGACTCAAGGGGGAAATATTAAGTCATAACAAAGAATAAAGTAAAAAAAGATTAAAAAAATTGGAAGCATTTCCATTACAAAAAATAACTAGGCTCCCCTAACATCTGTGGTCTCTCTAGTAGGTATGATTCATAGTACTTTCATATAGGAGCAAACAAACATGAAGCAAAATTGAATATTCCATCCAGAGAACACATCATAAAAAGTTGATAATGCAACAAAGATGTATCTTTATAGTAACCTAAACAATGAGCTACTCAATATCATAACTTTGATACTGACTGTAGTGAAATAAATAAAAATTTGGAAGAAAAATAGAACAAATTAAGTTTGCCAATAGCACCTCTCTTTGGTAATGGAACATCAGCACCACCTGCTGGTAAAAATCAAATTATATACTGTATAATCTTACAGTTTTATAAACTGAAATGTCTGGGGGAGGGCAAGACATCAATAATTTGTGACTAAGTGTTGAACAGTTGATTATAGGACTATATCAGCTTCCTTTGGATTCTGCTCAAATGTGGATCAAGCGATCAAGTTATGACAGTCAGAACTGACTAAACAATGCCTCTGAAAATTTAACCATTTAATATTGAATGGAAACCAAGAGCAATACCTCACAGTAGGCTCTCAACTCTATGAAGCATCTGATGTATTGGACTTTCATTACGACGTAAAATGCACAATTTTTTTTAGAAAAAGGATTTGGCTTTTAATAGACCCCAAGTACAGGTTTCCTTCACCGTCAGGAAACCTTTAATTTATGTTCCTTGTTTCCTACAATTAAGTTAGCTCTTTTTGAAGTTTTGATAGTGCTGCGATTTCATGAAACTTTAATTCACACATCTATTTTCCCTAACTAAGAATGAACAGATGTGAATACTTTGAACGTTTTTTCTTGCAGAGCATGCCTAAATTGAATTACAGAAATCTTATGATTCATCATTAAAAAGAATTAAAAGGAGGGAAGTTTTAATTGAGCAGGAAGTATTGGATGTGATTTCATTCTCTGATTCATAATTCAATATACAATTTTGAGTCCTCAGAAACGGCAAAGCCTCTACAATTTTTCTTTTAAAATGGAACCATCTTTTTGAGTGTTTTTATGCATGTGTTGCTTTGTATAAAATGTTTCACAGACATTTGTAAGGGTGGAAAAAGACCAATAATGCCCTTGATTCAACAAATCGCCTCTTTGTTATTTGCCAAACTGTGTGATTAAGACTGGATCTCTTAGGCAACTTTTGTTTCTGTTGAACAACTGTGAAACTGTGTGGTTGAAGGCTTTTATTGCTGGAATCACTGGGTTTCTGTGAGTTTTCCGGGCTGTATGGCCATGTTGCACAAGCATTCTCTCCTGACGTTTCACCCACATCATGACATTCATCCCTAGAGGTTGTGAGGACTTCACAACTTCTGAGGATGCCTGCCATAGATGTGGGCAAAATGTCAGAAGAGAATGCTTCTGGAACATGGCCATACAGCCGGGAAAACTCACAGCACCCCAGCCTAGAGAAATCCCTGCTGAACATAATTGGATTAGATGGACTGAAAGCTCCTACTGAAATATTGTAGGCCCCTTCTACACTGCCATACAAAATCCAGATTCTCTGCTTTGAATGGGATTATATGGCAGCGTATACTCATATAATCCAGTTCATAGCAGATAATGTGATTATCTGCTTTGATAATCTGGATTATATGCCAGTGTAGAAGGGGCCTTAGAAACAGACCTCACATTGCATTCATTCTCAGAGGTTGTGAGGACTTAACAACTTCTGGGGATGCCTACCATAGAAAAGGGTGGATCATCAGGAGAGAATGCTTCTGGAACATGGCCATACAGCCTGGAAAACTCAAAGCAAACCAACTATGAAACTGACCAAAACTAAGCCTCAGTATCTTTTTAAAGCAGGGCAAGATCTTTTATTATATAGGACATGTTTCTGATATTGGAATTGATTTGGTAGGTCAATTAGTGTGTTGGGATAAATGTTTTATTTAGCACTTCTATCCGTTGCCTTTATTTTTGCATGGCAACCAAGGATTGCTGACAAATGCAGCTTTTAAGAAAACAAATGATCTGGAGGCAAGATGTAGCTTTTAGTTCCATTCTGTGCTTGTAAAAAGCACTTTGCTAACAAGATGCTGGGGTCACATAGATTTCAATCAGGTCAGCATTATTTTTAAAAACACAATAAAATATAGTTGACTATGACTCAAATTTAATATAAAATGCAATACAGCACTAAAGATTAATAGCTCTGCTATAAAGCCAGGGGCTTGGGTATCTGGTAATGGGGCCCACTGTTAATTCCTGTGATATATCATAGATGCATGAAACTTTACCCTGTATTTCCTTTCAGCTGAAAACTTTGAAGTATGAATTAATATCTCTTTTACCACTCTATCAACATGAAATTGTTGAAAAGAGACCTATATAGGGAATCATTCATGAATTTGTCATCAGCTTTTTCCTCAGATGTCTTGACCTCTGATGTGATTGGTGGTCTTTGAAACCAATTTCCAATACTTTGGTATACAAAATCATTCTTAAAGTCAGATTTGGCCACAGTAGTCCACACTTTTGTTCCATCTCGAATAGACTACTGCAACACACTCTACGTGGGGCTCCCTTTGAAGACTGTTCAGAAGGTTCAAGTAGCTCAACAGGTGGCAGCCAGGTTTCTTACTGGAGCGGAGTACAGCACCGGGACTGTGGCGCAGCTGGTTGGGAGCTGCATTAATATCACTACTGACCGAAAGGTCGTGAGTTCGAAGGGGGGCGAAGATAAATCCCAATTTGAATTTTCTCCATCTCAAACAGGTCTTGAAGCAATTCTAAATAAGGCACACCTTTTCAAAACAGGAGAGCTTTCAGTTTGAACACGGAAAGCTTGACTAATACAAAGACACAGCCAGTTAAGAGCGAGGGCCAAGATAGATGCCATCCAGGCCCGTAGCCAGGATTTCGATTCGGGGGTGGGGGGGGGGGGTGGGCTGAGTCTGAGTGAAAGAGGGTCTAGCCTAGCAAACCTTTTGTATCATTACCCCAATAATACCCCCATGCATATGGGATATATTGAGTATGGTGATCAGATCATGATATGAATAAACATAACAGTTTAAATAATGCACCAGTAAGGCCTTTTCACGAACCACAATGAGAATTTCGGGGGGGGGCTGAAGCCCCCAAGCCCCCCCCCCCCCCAGCTTCATGCCTAATGCCATCCCACCACCAGAAAGTATGTAGATGAGTTTACATATAAATAAGTTGCAGGCACACAAGACAACCAATGTGGGTTGGGTCCCTGCTGTGAGTGATATTGAAAATATTTTGTCCCTACTGTAGTTCCAGTTTGGATTGAGGATCATTGGATTTGTAATTTACAAGGGAGGATGCTTTGATTTCTTCTGATTTTATCCCTTCAATTTGACCAATTCATTTCATTGCTAGTGCAAACTCTTACCTTGACAGAATTGAATTAAGAATCACAATACTGGCATGTTGCAAATGTACACGGAGTCCTTCAAGTTACAGAAACATGCTTAGAACAGATTGAACATTGCTTCCAACTGTATACTACATTTAAAAAAATATTTCCCTACCTTAAGCTTTCTAACAGCGTCTCTCACGATTTCTGTGCCTTTCGGTTGCTCCACTTCAGTACTGCCTAGAAACTGAAAATATTGTAATTTGTGAGAAACGTAATGAAAACTTATTTCTTCTTTAAAAAAAGACTGTGACATCAGTTATCAACATGTTGTCTGGTAATAATTATTCACTGCATAATTTTGAATCATCAAAACATATAAATACCCCCTTTCTGGTACTATATTATCTTTCTGGTGAAACTGACACATTTACTTTACTTAATTGAAACACCTTTTTTTTTCTTATCCTGACAAACTTCTACATAATATTTTCTAATTAATATGAAATACTATTACCTTTTGAAATTCTAATCATCTTAGAAATTTCATAATTAGACATTTGAAGCCAGACATTTGAAGTGGTACAATGTTAATGAAAAGTTGGTACTAAAATATTTTAGAAATATGGATATAATATTTAGACTGTGTGTTCATGTAATGCTACATGGGATTCATGTTCCTAAAATCATTTCAAAGCACACTTGGAAAGAGTTGTAAATAAATGTCCAAATATTGTGGATACAGAACATCTTTAGAAGTCTGAAACCTTGACTTCAGCAAACACAAACCTATTGTAACATGCTGTCAAGTCATCAGTTTGAATATACCCATACCAAATCAAAACAATGTGTGTGTGTGTGTGTGTGAGAGAGAGAGAGAGAGAGAGATCTACACATGCACACACACGCTGATATGTGACAGGGAGAAGAAATATATCCAAAATAGAGCAATTGTATCAGCAAATTAAATCATATACAAGTTTATGTTGCTCATATAACAAAGCAACTATGAACAGGTTGCTTACCAGTAACTGTAGTCCTTCAAGTTGCTATGTGTGCCTGTGTAGTGCTTCTCTCAAGCCCTTCTGAAGCTATACAATATGCATTTTGGTAGTATCCCCCCCCCCATTTTTCACACACCCGATAAGGACATTTTCTGCCTAAATCATCAGTTCTCTGGACACTGAAGTGGCAGCCAAAGATGTAAGGAAGACAAGATAGGACAAGGGGAGGATGGATGAGGTTGTGTGAGTTTACAAATGGCTGCTTGAAGAATCATAGTTACAGGAAAACACCCAGGTGTCTCTCTTTGTGGACTTTGCAACTCACACAAATGGGAGACTAGCAAGTTACACACCATAAGAGGAGGGAGTGCAATACAGAATAGCATAGTCTCTCTCCAAAGCAGCCTTCACCTGGGGGCTTGTTTTATGTAGAAGGATGTCTCTCAAGGAGAATGCTGCCATCAAATTGCTCTGTGGCAATGGAACCAAAGGGAGAGGAAGGTCCCCAAGAGGATATGATACATCAGGTACATCAAAAGTTGTTCAGGTGGAGTACATGGGACCACAGCCTTTGGAGAAGATTTCAAGAGCTTGCTTTCCAAAACACTGCAAACTACTGTTCCTGAGTCTATACAATGAAAATGCCATTCATATCTCCTGATGAATGTCCCTCTTCCATGAGTGCTCGCTTGATCCCCAGTGACACCAGCCAACTGAACAGTGACTGTCTTGAGTACTGCTGTGAAGATTCTAGATCCTTGGCCTCTTATACTTTTTGTAGTTCTTCTGCACAGGCTGTTCAGGTTCCATAACCATATCAAGGGTCTTTTATGGAATGGAAGGCACTCAGGACTGAATCAATGGTTTGGATGCAGTTCACTCAAAGGTCTTCCTAGATTTTGTAGATCTAGTATCTGTTTCAAGGAGGTATTGTTTTAGTGTTTTAATGTGCACATGAGACTGACACAGTACCAACGATGCACATGATGCTGCTGAAGCATGGAAAAAAGAGACACTAGTAGAGGAGGTATCCAAGTGGCTATTTCTCACTGTTCAGACACCAGTTTTTGATGCATTCTCCTAGTCTTTAATCTCACCAAAAGATCATGGAGATATTGTGGAATAAGTGACTTGCAATGACTGCACACACTCAACATAACATCATTCGCGGCCAAGTATAATTGCCTTCAGTCTTGGTGGCACGTCTGTAGGTGATTGTACAAACCTATTTATCTGCATGTTCTTTTGCAGTGAAGACATTGATTTTCAGATAGAAGGTGGTCCTAGTTAGGGCTGGCTTGAAGTACCTTCCTCTTGACATATTTCTCCCTTTTGCCCTCTTTGAATTCCACAGCACTATTGCTAACAGCTGACCTCCAGTTAGAACACTCGAGGGGCAGGGCTTCCCAGTTCACAGTATCTATGCCACAGTTTTTAAGGTTAGCTTTAAGCCCATCTCACATAACACTACTCTCTCATAGAATCATAGAATCATAGAATCAAAGAGTTGGAAGAGACCTCATGGGCCATCCAGTCCAACCCCCTGCCAAGAAGGAGGAATATTGCATTCAAATCACCCCTGACAGATGACCATCCAGCCTCTGTTTAAAAGCTTCCAAAGAAGAAGCCTCCACCACACTCCGGGGCAGAGAGTTCCACTGCTGAACGGCTCTCACAGTCAGGAAGTTCTTCCTCATGTTCAGATGGAATCTCCTCTCTTGTAGTTTGATGTCATTTTCCATGTCATAGTCTCCAGGGCAGCAGAAAACAAGCTTGCTCCCTCCTCCCTGTGGCTTCCTCTCACATATATATACATGGCTATCATATCCCCTCTCAGCCTTCTCTTCTTCAGGCTAAACATGCCCAGCTCCTTAAGCCGCTCCTCATAGGGCTTGTATGAACCAAAATCTCAAACAGATTTTGGCCCCTCGAGAGATAAGCTTTTTGAAAGGTGTGAAGGAGGGCATAAATATGGCCTCAAATAGCCAATCAATAGCAATGCTGAGCCATAAACCAAGGGATGTGCCAAAGTAGTCTGAGTCCAATATAATAAGGAAAAGCCAGGCCAAATAACCAAGCCAAAACACAATGAACAAGGGGAAAAATCAATCTGAAGCCATTAATTAAAGGTAGAAACGATTCAGAAAGAACACTCCAGATCAGTTCCTAATTATGATGCTGCAGCAGCAGACAGGAGGCTTTAAGTGGGAAATGTGCTGGTCAGGAGATGGGAGGCGATGCAGCCAAAATGCATACTGCATGGCTCCAGAAATGTATGAATGGTGCACTGCACAGGCACAGATGATTCATTTGTGGAATCACAGAGAACATAAAGAAGAAAAATCTCTGTAGGGTGATATTTTTCAAAAAGACAGACAAAACCCCCAAATCTTTGCACAGCTTCTAGATTCTAGGGGGAAAAAAATTAAATCTCCAGCTATAGTACTTTACAAAAGATTTCAGAGTGTGCCTGAAATCTGGTATCTTTCCAGAACTGTCAACTTGCAGAGAGCCACAAAACAAATGGATCAACATTAAAACCTTTTGTGTCGACATGAAGCTCAGTGTCAGCACACATCTTGAATCATTGTGTTATGCCAGGGCTTCTACCACTCATACTGGCATAAACATACAAGACCAAGATACAATCTAAAGAGAATTGCCTTATAGGTGTAGTGGTTTCAGAAGAAATCATAGCATTACAAACAACAGTTATCATTCATAGCAGTGGAGTGAGACGGGGCAGATAATTACACTTTCCCACTCATTGATCGTATATGCCCATCCTGTTGCACAGCATAACAGTTTGGGCAACATGATATAGCATAGACTAAAACCTATATTGCTTCTTCTACACTGTGCTGCTGCTCTGTTTCATTTCTACTGTGGACAGAATGTACATCTCCAGCGTAGAATTAATATTGTTTTACATCACTTTAATAACAATGGCTCAATGCTATGGAATCATGGGATTTGTAGTTTAGTGAGGCACCAGAACTCTTGACCTTGAAGGAGCTTGGGGTGGCAATGGCTGATGGGGAGTTCTGGTATGGGCTGGTCCATGAGGCTGAACAAATGAACAACAAAAGTACTCTTTGGCAGAGAAGGCTCAAGACCTTTGAAAATGACATTGAGCCGTGAAAGTTAAAACATTTTCATATTGCATTAATTACTCAAATCATCTGCTGAATCCATTGGCTGAATAATGGATTGCTGTGCAAGAAGAGTGGTGCTTGGGTTGCTACAAATACTGGTCAGCACTACTGTATTTGCTCAGGAGAAAAGGGTAGGATGTTTGGATTGTGCTATACTACTGCATCTTCTATATTTTATATAAATAGTAAGTCTCTAAATTGATGAAAACATTTTTATTTTTAGATCAGGGTTCAAACAACATGTAGCCCACCAGATACTCAATGGGATTGCATTGCCCTTGAAGACACAGGTCCACCGTCTGGGGGTCCTCCTGGATTCAGCATTGACGCTTGATGCTTAGGTGTTTGGAGAGGCTGAGAAGGCCTTCACACAACTAAAACTTGTGCGCTAGCTGCGACCATACCTCGTTAAGTCTGATCTGGCCATGGTAGTCCATGCCCTAGTTACCTCTAGATTGGATTATTGCAATGTACTCTACGTGCTGCTGCCCTTGAAGACGACTTCAATTGGTCCAGCGACTGGCAGCCAGACTGCTAACTGGAGTGAATTACAGGGAGTGGTCTACCCTCGTGTTTAAGGAACTCCATTGGTTGCCGTTTATTTTCCGGTTCCAATTCAAGGTGCAGGTTATCACCTACAAAGACCTGAATGGTTTGGGACCAGTCTACCTTCGTGACTGCATTTCCTTCTATGAACCTGCATGATCTCTTCAATCTTCGGGAGAGGCCCTCCTCTTGCTTCCACCTCCATCATAAGCATGGTTTGTGGGGACGAGGGAGAGGGCCTTCTCCATGGTGGCCCCTCAGCCCTGGAACTCACTACCCAGGAGATCAGGTAAGCATTCACCCTAGCAGTTTTTAGGAAAAGTCTAAAGACTTGGCTTTTCCCATGTGCTTTTGGGAAATAAACAACAAATCCCCATACCTTGTCTGACCCAGTACAAATCTGTCCTTTTGATGCACTTTATCTCATCCCTCAGTGAAGATTATCCCCATTATTTTTCCCACCCGTCTCCCACTAGATACTCTACTCTATTTATCTATCTCACCCAGGGGTTATATATATATATATTCTTTATTGCTGTGTT